AGAGATGGCCAAACCCAGGGTGAGGAAAAAAAAGATACGACATAGATATCAGAGAAAAAATAAAATCTTTCTGCTCTGAAATATTTGTTAAAAAGCCAGACAAATGTACTCAGTTTTGTTTCATTGTTTTTTTAAGCTTGCCAGAGCAACAGTCCGAGACCCCAAAACAGGAGTGTTGACCACAGCCAACTACAGAGTATCAAAAAGGTGATTGATTAACACTTTGCTCTTTCCTGCCACCCACTGCTCATTGTGTGTCAAATTCAAGAAGTTATTTCCGTTAGATCAGGCGAAAAGACCGAGACACTATCACTCTGGATTTGTAGCCTGTGCTTGAGCATTGCTAACCACACTCTGTTCACATTTAATCAGCGCCTGGTTAGAAGAAGAAGATGGTCCGGTCATTGCCCGAGTCAATCAGAGAATACAGGACATCACAGGCCTAACGGTAGACACAGCAGAGTTATTACAGGTGCGTTTTCAAGGACAAAGAATTAAGCTAAGGCAGAGAGATTTCCAGTATGGGTTCCAAGAAAATAAGCCAATATGCAAATTCACGACTGCCGAACCAGAGATATGCAGCTCTTCATTGTACATTATTATTATTATTATTATTATTATGTGAATGTGTAAGTCATCTCTTTTAATGGCTGACCAGGTTGCAAACTATGGCGTCGGAGGACAGTACGAGCCACATTTTGACTTCTCCAGGGTGAGTTCACATGAAGTGTGTGCGCTGGTGTGCGGTGGGAAACGGAATGCCATGAGTCAACGTTTGCACTTTGTATTGTGCGTCGTGTTTCTGGCATGCTTGTCGTTCATGTGATCTGACTGTATGTACTTTGCGCAGCTGTTTGGCATAAATCACACTCGGTCATTTCAGGAGAACCTCATGAATAATGTGAGATGGAACCTGTTTTGAATTGGACCACATTACCCGGATTTCACGTATTTCCACATATGAAAGCATTTTTTCCCCCTTTACTTATTAAAACAGTGATTACTTTTGCTTTGACAAAAGACGGGATGGCGTTTGAGTGTAGTCGCTGCCCTTTGGGGCGGGCTCCTGATGCATGTCTTGGTTATGCGTTAAAGTTATAAACATCTGTTGCAGCGTCCTTTTGACGGCAACCTCAAGGTCGATGGAAATAGGCTTGCCACCTTCCTAAATTACGTAAGTACGTTTGTGCTGTCCACATTGTGTATTTTACCCTTGAATTTTATCTTTGTAGAAAGATGAGCCAGATGCTTTCAAAAGATTAGGCACTGGAAATCGTGTGGCAACTTTTTTGAACTATGTAAGTACGTGCATCCAGTCGCCGCTGATTGAGAGGAAAGTTGTGACGGTGGTCACCGTCTGTCTTTTGGCTTTGTGGGCCCACGCCTGAACTCAGCTTCAATGTTGAACTTGAATTGATTGACCGATTGAGATAGCAAAGAATTCATAATCCAATGAGTACAGTCATAAATGGAAATATACAGCGCTTGAGAAATGTCAACTTGTCAAGAAATGCAGATTGCCATTCCGTCAATCACTTCCAGTACTTATTGTAAAGAGTTTTTTGGCCATTAACTAACATGTTGATAGACAATGCCTCTCCTTATTCGGACATTTTTTGTTATGAACTGTTTAAATTTTTAAAAAATATATTATATACACACACAAAATTATGTTTGATTTAGGTGCACTGTTAACCCTGTTGCATGAAGTGCTTTTCTTTTTTTTTTTTCTTCTTCTTCACGATGACTCATTGAAGCCTTTATTAGAAAGGCCCTTCGGCGATACATTGCAAACTTGAAAACTTGGTATTATAGTTATGATAATTAGTAACAAAGGAAAAGTGGCTAACACAACATAAGGGTAAAGCACTTGATATTTATTTTGACTTATTTATTTGAGGCGGTTACTGGTCATTAAATTAGTACTTGAGAAAGAAATGTCTGACCTTTATTTGGTGTTAATTGGAGGCAATTTAAAAGGCGGTGGTTGTGTGATGACTATGTAACATAAGGTTGAATGTAATTGTTTTTGAACACAGGTACTTCCCCATTTATGAGGGTGTTTTCGTTTGTGCAACGACAGTAACTTGGCTATTTGTTATTACTCTTGCCCCCCATATTTTGCATTCATTTGTGTTTGTGATCATATTATGAATCGGAAAGTTTTTTTTTTCCACCCCCAGATGAGTGATGTCGAAGCAGGAGGTGCCACAGTCTTCCCTGACTTTGGGGCTGTAATCCAGCCCAAAAAGGTATTACAATACAATACAATACAATACAATCAATACAATACACCCTGATTTATATCGCGCTTTCACAACAGCTGCAGCTGTAACAAAGTATAGTATTTATTTGTTTATTAACAAAATTTCTATTAGTTTTTAGGGTTTTTTTTCAGGGGAGGGAGGGGGGGTCTGGGTGTATGTGAAGGTGGGTGACAAATGTAAACCTAATCACACAATATCTTACAAGGACTCTGTAGGAGTAATTCATTTTTTTATAGTTCATAATTATCATTACAGTAGCCAATCAGACTTAAAAAAAAAAATCACACGCTGTTTTTAATCACCATTTCTCTACGACAACAGAAACTATACATATTTTATATACAACTTCAAAAACAAAATCAAAACTTAAAATAGCTTGTAGACGTCAAAAAAAACAAAAATTGGAGAGTGTTTAAGATTTTAATCATGAGCTCATTGCTGAATGAATGAAAAATGGCACATGCAAGCCACGCCCATTCCCCTGTTAATGTTATGTGCACAATTTAATCACCGCTCACATTAAAAGCAAAAACTCAAATGCCATGTGCTTCATCTTGAAGGCACTGCCCTTCCTTCGTGTATTGCTATCATCGAGTTCTGTCATGTCGCCGCAAGAAATATCCAGTACTGCTTGCTGACAGTCCCTCTTCTGAAGGCTTCGCAGTGATGTACGATTGAGGAATGGGCTGAAAAATCCATGCCAGAGCTCTGTCTGCACTGAATAGTTATTTGAAAAAAACATCACATTTGGCAGAAATATGTGGACATCATCGATGGTCTCACTTGACTTGCAGATGTACTGTTTTCTGCTCTTCCAGTGCAGTAAAAAACAATACAGTTCCAAGCTACGACTGCCTAAAGTGCATGCAGATCATCATATTGCGGCAGTAAACAGCTCTTACTTCCCATTCTCTCACACTTCAATCTGCGATCCTTGTGTCAAATCTCATTTTGCTTGTAAGCCTCCTTGAATGTTCTCATCAATGTTTGCATCACAGGGAACAGCCGTGTTCTGGTACAACCTTTTCAAAAGTGGGGAAGGAGACTACAGGACCAGACATGCAGCCTGTCCTGTCTTAGTGGGAAGTAAATGGGGTGAGTTAAGGTTGATTCTCTTCAATCAAGTATGCCGCGGGGGGGAATGCCTTTCCGTGTTTTGCAATATAAACATACTGTACTGCATTTGGATGACTGCGTCATTCTTTCAAGAAAGAACATTTTGTCCGATTTTGTCCAATGTCACCTGGGTATGCGCACCTGTGATTGTGGGCTGAGGGGTGGATGCAAAGCCTGAAATCAAAAAGCTCTTTTCAGTGACCTTAAGACGATAAAGCATCGACTACAAAAGGCTTGAGGCCGTAATTAAGCACATAACTCGCAACGCTCATTATTTTTTATTATGCTGCCGCTTATTTTATGTTATTTTATTTTTGCCAAATGCATGCCAAACATACAGTAACGATAACGGTCATGTGCAATCAAAAGTCTATAAACATTCCTGTTCAAATGCTAGTTTCTTGTGATGACATATATACATACATACACATCCAAAACTAAGATAAATCACGTTTTTATGTCGACTTTTTATAGCCACTGTACATTTTAAACATTTACATTTTGATTCTATTATTTATTTATTTTTTTCCAGTGTCCAACAAGTGGATTCATGAGCGAGGTCAAGAATTCCTGAGACCCTGTGGCCTAACAGAAGTGGATTGAACATTGACCGCCTTACTCCTTCCTATATTGTGCAAACACATTAAAAAAACAAAAAAACACACGCGCACATACATGTGACATAAAATACTGAACCATTAGCCATACACCGTACATTATTTTGATCTTCTTGTCAGCTTCAACTAATGCTTTTTCATGAGGAAACGTAAACATAAGGAGCTGGACAGTTTCTGCTCTCTGTTAAAGTATCACATGAATGATCACACCCAAAAGCGGAAGTCAGTAGAGTGAAAAATGACAGATTTGACAAATGCAAATGTTAAAAAACCGTAAATGCTCGCAGTTACTTTACACACACAAATCCAATACCGTATGGATTTGTCGTCACTGATTGCTATTTCTCAGCCCTACTGTTGAGTTCCACGTTATTTCAGTGGTGTTGAACTTGTGTGAACACACTTCACATCGTTTAACACGTCCTTAGCAAGTTTGCCGTCAGGACTGCCAGTCGACTAACACATTAGGGCGCGGATTAAAAAAAAAAGGATGTCGTCATTCAAAAAAAAAACAAAAAAGGCACAAATGCGAATCAAACAGACTTATATTTCATCATAACAACCAGACAGGAATGTTTGCTTTTTCCAAAAGCATGAATAGAAGGATTCCACACACCCAGGTTTTCGAATTGAGTAAGGCAAAACGTCTTCATCAAACAAGAACAGTCCAGTTGCTTCGAATGAACCTTGTCTGGTTTTTCCCAAGTGATGCTTTATTTATACAGTGTTTAAATTATTACATCAGATGCTGTGCTTTTTCTACCAGATGGCCATCAGGAAAGTTAATAAATGGTCTTTTATTTTCAAACATCACACCCGTGTTTTACTTTTGATGTAAAAAAAAAAAACATTCATGCATTTTAAAGGTGGAATATTGGGATTTTTTCCTCTAAAAATCTCTGAAAGCATTTCATCAGCCCTATTACCCCATTTAGATCAGTACCCAAAATATGGGTGGATTTTTATCAGTCACTGTATTTATCATAAAACACACAAAGAATTTCTTGGTTAATGGCCTTTTTATTTAGATTTGTTGAAATCAAGTCTGCTTTGCTCTTTATCATCAGTTTATGAACAGTTCCAGGTATAGGCACTACGGCATTACAAAACAATACAATACATGTATCTCCAAAAATTTTCTGCCCTGAGCAGAAATTATGGCCATACAGCATTGCAGTGCATCCGCTGCTTATGAGAATTTTTTTTTTTATAAATCCTTAAGATTAAATGGAAATGCATTGAACTTAAAAGTGAAATACAACTGAACCGTGCTTTGGCAGTTATTCTTTCATGTACCACTAGAGGGAGCCCTCGTGTCACCAGTGGAACTTGTACCGCACTTTGAGAATCACTGGCGCGTGCTCATAAAGTACTTTCAGAACGATGAGCCCGCATCCCGTTGAGGGGGTGAACATTTGCGAGTGTTAGAGACGGTGGCAAATGTCGCATTCTCGGCGAGGGTTCGTTGAAGGTCGCTAACATTCGCCAAGCGGTCTCCATATGTTTGCCGACAGTTGTAGTTGTTTTTCTTGTCGTCAGGAAATTTTGAACATGTTTTACGACCTTCAACGAACCCTGACAAGAATGTAAACATTCGCTCCCTCAATAGGATACGGGCTTTCGGCTACGCCTGCTTTGAGAATCGGTATGAATCATTTTAGTCATCGAACTGTTTAAATCATGTAAAAAGCATGTTACCTGCATTAATATTTCTTAACACCCTTTCCACTTTATTGTGTTTTTTCCGACTCAAATGTGGGCCTATCTTGCACTTTTTAATCAAAGAGTGTTTTCTTTCAATGGGCTCTCTGTCTCTGTTCTTTCATGACAAGTACTTGCATTTTGTAGTCCCCCTTTTGTTGAGTTGGCGCACTTTGCTCACTTGGTGACTTCCACGTCCCGGGACAAAGGTTTCAGTTCGGTGAGGGAAGCGACGACTTTGTCCCCCAGCGAGGGAAGACATTTCAGGTCGTCCTCAGGAAGGCACAGCAATAGGAATCGCTGAGGAAAGAAGATAAAGTCCATTCAACGCATCGACAAGCTTCTTAGTTTTATCGTGCCAATACCATAATGACTGAAGCATTATTTTAAAAAATAAATCTTTAAATGTGCTGCTTAGTTGTGATTACACTGCAAGGAAGAATCAATTTCATGACGTCCAATTTTGCAGATCATCGCTCGACTGCTCATCGCCACTAGTGGACAGACTTGCACGTGAGCTGAGGGTTCCTATTGCGATGCTGTGATGTTACTGTAGTCTCCAGATTCTGAAACATTTTATCTTACATCCCTGTGGGGCAATTTGGGTTTCATAGACCTCGCCTCTGTTTTTTTTTGGGGGGGGGGGGCATTTCAACCTTTTCAGACTGCCATCTGCCACCCTCGATTCACAGCCCACACCGAAACATGAAAACCATCTCCCCCCTTTTTATGTCGCCAATCTTGCTAACTTTGCGTATTCAGCTCACCTGACGAAGGGTCCCCTCTCCGTGTATGAGCTTGTAGAGCACAAAGATTGGTATGAGGGAGAGGGAGATGGTGGCCAAGAACCAGCCCAGAATATTGGCCCACAGCGGATAAACATAAGTGCTGCTGAACTTCAAGGGAGAGTATCGAACGATGGAGAAGATGAAGGTGCCCTGCGGTGAGAGAAAACATTTTGTTTCCATGTATTCATTCCATCCTTTCTTTTTGAACACGCCTTATCCTTTTTGGGGGTTGCAGTGCTGGAGCCTATTGAAGCTGGCGCTCCCTTTAAATTCAGTCCAAGAGAGGCGCACAAATTACAATAGATCTCCACTTGTGGATGATGTAAAGTTGGGCATTTGGAGACCGCCTTCCACCCGTCTGATCATGCATAACTGTGACACGGCCAGGTGGGGGATTTAAAAAATGTACATTAAAAACGATAATCATAAGAATGCATTCAATGAATTGATTTCTACAAATATTCTGAGAGATTCTCCCATGCTGCTGCTATATTTATGAATGAAACACGTTAACATCCACCACACACGTCCATGGAGCTCAGAATTTGCCTGCCTGTATACTTGGATTAAATTCACCATAATCGCATGGCACCACCTGCGCCACAACTTAGACCTCCTTTGAGGCGGTTTAAAGTTAGTCTACTTTCTGCCACCAAATTATGAAGTGAGTCGAGTTTGTGTGGAAAAAAAAGTCCTCCAGAACGCGTGGCATGGCACAACGCAGTCTGCCATATTCCCAAACACAACAAATGTTACTTGCATTTGAACGAAACTCAAGATGCAGCAGTTTTTAGGCTCGAGCGCACGTGCACTGTCTATGAAAATAGAGTCCTGAAGTTTACAGTAGCGCTCCATTACGAATAAGGTGCTTTTTGGGGGTAATGAGGTCAACAGGTCAAAACAAGGCCGTGTGGGTGTGAAAGGACATACGGGTGTGATTATGAGAAGGGGCGAGAGATCGCATTTTTTTTACAGGTTATATTTATAATGTACTACTACGGATATTGTCTGAAGTTGTAGGTTCTTCTTATGTCTCATTATTCGGCATGTACATCTTTTGGAAGAAGCTCTTCAAACACAATTGCTTTTCTACTCATTCTTTCACATCACCAAGATGAGTGTTTTGACTTGAATGCTTACAAAACATAAACAAGGAGTGAAGTAGCACCAGCAGAGCTTCATCATTGGAGAAGGACGATAGCCAATCATATCTTTGATGTTCCCATAGAAACGCTCGGCCCCTGTGACGTAAAAAGAGAAACGATTTATACTTTGCTCCTTTTTTTTTTTTTTTTTAATTCCCCCGAAGTGCCTACCATAGACCCAAGCAATGCTGACAGACTGGATGATGGAGAGCAGGAGCAAAGTGGTCCCACTGCACATATAGAAATCCACCAGCTGGAGCAGGTACATCCCTCCCTATGAGCACAGCACCAATAATAAAAATAACATTGTAGTATCAAGTATGTTATTTGTTTGGATGCCATCAATCTGTTTGCGTGTCTGCAAATAGTTTCTTTCAGTGGTGTCATCGCATTTTTTTGGGAACGGTTGGATATTTTGGGCAGCACGTCGGCCTCACAGCGTCGAGTAGCAGGGTTCGATCCTGGCTCCGGCCTTCCTGTGTGGAGTTTGCATGTTCTCCCCGTGCCTGTGTGGATTTTCTCCGGGTATTCCGGTTTCCTCCCACATTCCAAAAACATGCGTAGCAGGATAATGGAGCACTCTAAATTGTAGCTCGGTGTGACTGTGAGCGCAGATGGTTGTTCGTCAATTGTTTGCGAGGAAGGTTGGACATTTTGGAGAAGATGTGCACTCTAGTATGTCATTACAGAAAGCTGGCAATAAAGTTTGAGGCACCGATAAAGGTTGGCCTATGAGTTTCCATACAAAGGAAAAATCTTTTCTGAGAAAACATTTTTTAGTGTATGATATGCTCTACAATACAGTACTCCCATTGTTCTGAATACACATTTCAATGTGTCCCGCTGCTGAATAACACGTATTATCACAGCTGGAGTTATCCTTGTAATAAATGACACTGTACTGCCAAAAGTATTCTTTTACCTGCCTTGACTCACATATGGATTTAATTGTCATCCCTTCGCAGCAACAGCAGTCTCAATTCACAATGTTTAGAAGTGTTTATGTGAATTTTTTTCACACCGTCCAGAAGGCCATTTGGGAGGTGTACGCACTGAAGTTGGACAAGAGGGCCTGTTGCCCTGCTGCACAATCATATCAGAATAGGAAGTTGCACATCTCCAAAACCTCTCGATATGCTGAAGCATTCAGAGTTCCTTTCACAGTAACCAAGGGGATAGTAGTCATTTCCGTGGTTCCTAACTTTGTGAGAACTTTTCTTCCTGTTCAAACATGACTGAGCACTAATTCACAAGGCAAGGTCCATAAATACGCCCACTTTAAATCATGTGCAATATGTTTTCTATCTGTTGCTGATACAGCATGCCCTGCAAATGTGCATTCAGAACAAAAATTAGTGGGGGTGAGATCAGTGGATCTGGGACCAACCATTCCAAGCATCTGGAAACTGCTACTTTAACTACACACAATATGCGAATAGCACATTGAGTTGGAGTTTCATCTTGCTCAGTAAACTGGGAACTTTCCATCCATGTTGAGCAGGAATGAAATAAAATACATTCTTGCAACATGCTAATGTAATTTTCTGCATTGGGATTTTCATCAATAAAAAAATGGTCCAATATTATGTAACATGCGTTCCCACAAGGATGATGATATACATTCCCAGTTTGGGGCATATATGGAACAGTCCGGACAGTTTTCTCTCAGTAAATCCTTTGGGATGAAGGTTAACTGCGTACAGCATTGAAGTCGGTGCCCAATGTAAAAATCACCCGTTGAATACATTTATTCCAATCTCAGTAACAGATGTCATCATTCGCTTTTACAAACCTCCGTCACCAGAAAGAGTCCCAGCAGACAGGAAACGGTACAGATGGCCAGCAGGACCAGCTCACGTCTGTAGCCTTGACGTAGGTAAGATGGGTAAAGATCCACCAGGGATGTCATCAGACACTCCAGACCGACAAACTATTCGGGGTGGTGGGAGGCAACACGAAGAAGGGTCTGTTGTACCTCCGCGGCATCCTTATTTGTTCAGAGAGTTCATGCTTACCTGACTGTCCAAGCCGAGTAGAATGATCATAAGGAAGAAACACACGGCCCACACTTGCGGCATGGGCATCATGGCGACAGCACGCGGGTAAACAATGAAGGCCAGCCCTGGACCTAAACTCATGTACAGTAGAATGAGTTTCAGAATCGTGTATCTTTTATTCTGTGACCGTCAATTTCTCTCACCAAAGATAATTAGTTTTTCGAATCTGTGCAGTCTAACTGCATAACTGAGTTGAGGCTTTTACAATCAGCTGTCATCTCTAAAGACAACTTGAATTAAATTTGAAGATTGGATTAAAAAAATAGATATTTTTTTTTTAGTTTTGAATGTACAGCAAATTACCCGGTAACGGAATGAACCAGTCAGCACTTGCCTGATTCTGCCACTTCTGCAATGTCAATGCCTGTCTCGTAGGTCATGAACCCCAAGATGGAGAAAATGGCAAAGCCTGCCACAACACTGGTGGCACTGTTCAGCAAACACAAGTAGACACAATCCCTAAAAGACAAACACATCCAGGAAGTATAGAACTCTGACTCATTTTTTTGTTGGCAATAAAATGTGAAACATAAAAAAGGCAATATGGAGTAACTCCCAGAATGTGGGCTCTTGTAACTTAAACACAAGCCATTCCAAGAGACAATTGGACATTGGAATCATCTGGATGATGACAATTCCCATGAAAACTGAAATAATTCGTTCCTGCTGTTGAAAACCTTCACAATACTTTTTCAGTCGTATTTTTTTACTTGTAACAGTTGTTGTTGTAAGTATTGTAACTGCCAAGAGAGGTCAGGAACCCGAGGCCGATCGCGTAAGAGAAGAAGATCTGAGTGCCGGCGTCCAACCACACCTTAAAACACAGAAGAGAAAAAAACAAAACATTGTCACACTGAAAATGGTGCTTTATTTTCTTATAGGCTTTAGGGCAATTAAAACACATTTGAAATTCATGATTGAAATTTAGATGGCACTCAGTCATCTGGAATGTCTGTCTGACTCGTTTGTGTGATCCTGACAACTCGTTCTTACCTGCGGATCTGATAGACGTGTGACATTAGGGTAGACGTAGTAAATCATCCCGTCCGTTGCCCCAGGCAACGTCACACCACGTATGAGTAAAATCAGCAACATAGCGTAGGGGAAAGTTGCTGTGAAGTAGGCCGCCTGGATCAAAGGAAACAAATGTAAGAGCTTGAATTAAAATTGTCCTTCAACCTGCTATTTCATGACCTACGTGTCCTTCTCAAAGGTCGCGCCGTGTCAGTCATAGAAATTGAGACTGAGTCAACAAACGTGTCGATTGCAGCCAAGTAGTGCACTTCATTTTGCCTCAGTTGTTTCGCAGCATGATTTATCGACTCCACACAATTCTTGACAAATCAATTCATGGATTCAACGTGTGATCAAGTTGAGATTCGCTTTATAGGCTAAGGTCATCAATTTTCAGAACAGAATGATTGGCTACACCCTTCGAATGGTCAGTTTTATTCATTCACGGCTGAAGCCAAAGCACGGTGGGCCGACTGTGCACGTGACAGACACAAAACAGTTGAGTGTGCTCCCCGGAGGGTTATTGCATGTCAATACGCATCGCAATCTGAAATGGCTTGGCGGAGATAGATGTCACGATCTCATTTACTGGATATGACAGCTAACGTAACTGCCTTTGACATGTTTAACTACAAAACAACACTCGGTCCGCTTTTTGATCTGTAATGAATTTCAGATGTGGATCCCAATGACATCACATCAGATGCGATTGTTGTTTGAATCAATGTTTTTTGGAAAGAGATTTTTTTGGGTGGGTGGGGGTGAGGGGTTAATTTTGCTATTGTTACATGATATCAAATTTATGTCGATCTTACCGGAAGATATTGAGATGTTTTGTATGATAGACGTTTTTGTTGTTTTACCATGAGGATGTTATCAGAGGAGAAATGTTGTGTCTTTTATGTGCCCCGGGTGAGGGCAAGAGGTGGGGTACCCTCTGGATTGGTTGCCGGCCAATGGAGATACTATATCGTAAATGACTCTGCTGATTCCCACCCTGACCCACAGAACACTTCATTAGGTACACAATTGAATGTAATCCTTTATCGAAGAGTACCGCATCGTAGTGAGAGCTTTTTCTCACGGTTTGGTGACCAGCATGAGATCGTCAAAATATTGATGATACTGTGCAGTTGCACACCTCTTCATATGGCAACCAAAATAAGTAGATCCATCTGTTAGGACTTGGTCAAACATGATCGCGGTATTGTTTTGGTGAACTGTCCTAAACTTTCTGATATAATGCTGCACCCTATTGATGTGCAGCTGGAAACATTAGGTGTCCTTATTCAGGGGTGAAGACCCTCCTTCCAGCGGCCATTTCAGAATTTTACTGGGGTCATACGAAATGTTTATATAGAGTGGATGTGCAAGATCAACACCCCTCTGTTGAAATGCCAGGACTTTATAAAGCGAGACCAAACTATAAAAGTACAGTCAATCATTTCAAAACATTCCCCACCGTGAATGTGACTTACAAAGACCACTATTGGGTTAAAATGAATAAATAAATAAGTGATAATTATAATTCGTGTGTTAAGGCCGGGCGTTTTCACATTGCACTTGGGTTTGAGCCCGAATCTGAAGCGGGGACAATGGGCAGATCTAAGCATCAAATTTGAATGGCAATTTCCAACATTTGCAATGAAAACGAGTGTGAGGCTTTAACTTGTTTTTACAATTGCACTGTGGGCTGTATCGAATGCTTTCCCTGTCCGTAGGTCCCCCTCCCTTGCTATAATTTAGTGGGAAACGTGAGAACATTGGATGCAACACTTGGGAGGGGTTAGGGGCACAAAGGTTTGTGTGCTGGATGAACCGAAGCAATCAAGCTATGCTGAAACTCAGCCATACATGTTGCTCAAGGCTGAAGTATTTCTAACCTTCCCGGTGGATTTGATCCCCTTCCAAATGCAAAAGTAGCAGATGATCCATGCCAGGATGAGACACAAGACCAGCTCCCACCTCAAGCTTCCCACCTCCTCAATACCACCAGAGATCTTCAGCACTCTGCGCCTGAGGAGAGCACACGGATGGAGCAATGGAGGCAACGGCGTTGGCACAACAACATGATTAATGAGGGATGGAAGGATGATGGAAGGGTGACAGTGCAGCTGGAAAAGGAAAGTGATACTGGGGGGGTGAGGGGGCTGGTGGTAGTGGTTATGGGAGAAAAAGAAAAGTACTCTAAAGGGTCCAATGTAGTCGACTAGGCGTGCTTACTCCCAAAACTCCACAACAGGCAGAGTGGTGTTCTGCCTTTGTGTCACGCTGAGGCTCTGATTTGCAATGCTGACGTCCATGCATGACTCTACAAGGCAAGCACATAAGATATAACAGCGTGACAAATCAAGCAAAAAAAGGGTGTTGTGCCATGCAAGCATGGTAAGATTCCTTCAGGATAATATGAAAAATGTGCCATATACAAAATCAAAACAACATACAAAATCATAATATGGTGCACAGACTGCCTTTCACTTAATGTTTCTAAAGATGAGGCTCAAAGCTGCATGCCTCTTCAGTGGACTTTTTTTTTTTGCAGTGAGTGTAGGGCTGCATGATATGATTGCTATGAATTTGTAAATAAATGTGTTTCTTCTCGTGGTAACTCTGCAATGTAAAATGATGTGAATACATTTTCTTGCAAGTATCTTGCACAACGACAAAGTAGCCTATATGTGAAGCACTCTCTGTGGAAAGCGTTCTAAATACAACTGACTTCAAAGAAAGCTAATCTCAACACCGTACTTTTTCCCCTCTTCCCTGCAGGGGCACCCACCTGTGTTCCAGTCATTTCCACACGTGGCCCAAGGCAAGTCCACGCTGAAGGAGGAGAACAAATAAAAGAAGGCCCACGCGATGATAGTAATGTAGGATGTGGCGCCGAATGCAATGATTAGGTGACTCGCATAGCCGATTCCTACAAATAGAACGTAACATATCTCGAATTGAACCTCGTAAGAATTCCAACAAGCGTAACAACAAGCGCGAATCCGTGCGTATTTACGCACGGATTCAGCTTCATTCACCCCTCGCTAAAAGTCTCAAATGTTGAACTCGAATGAACACAAATGCAAATAGGCACCCTGAAAAAGTGGGCAAATCTTCTTCCAACACGTAATACCCCCCTGGTTTGTGTACTGCCCCATGGCGGTCTCGAGGAAGAACAACGGGATCCCGCAGGTGACCATGAACAAAACGTACGGAATGAAAAAAACACCTGCAGAGAAATAATTACAGACATCAATAAAAAGCAACAAATGCATGAATAATGCAAGCAAGCAAATAAACAACCCCCTCCCTCCAAATATAATCTTACCTCCGCCGTTTTTGTAGCACAGATAAGGAAATCTCCACACGTTGCCCGGTCCAATGATAGCCCCCATCACCGTGAGGATGAACTCGGCTTTCGTGCTCCAATAACCCCGTTCGTCTGTTTCTTTTTGCTTCTTCAGCTCTCCGCTGGGCACACACACTGCACAACTACCATCCTTCTCTTTGGTGAACATTTCTTCTCCACTGAAACTTGAAATTGAATTCGGATAAATAAAGTTTTGGCGTCCAAATTTGCCCTCGAGAATCCTGAGTTGCCGCACTTTTCTCAAGACAACTGTGCTGTCTGAGACAGTAGCTACTTAAGTATGTGAGTGAAGGAGGAGGACTGGGTTCCACCTTTGGGATGTCCCAGCTTGATGATTTATTTTCTCTTTCTCACATAGGAAAGTAGAAAATACTGTAGTAGTTCCCCCTAAACTTGCATCACCTGCAAATTTGTCATGTTTCATCGTCAGTGTCAAATAGTTGTGCAGGAGTGTGAAAACAAAGCAGTGCTAGTTGTGTGAAATTTATAAGTGATGAGTCGTTTTGCATATTTTAGGGAGAATGATTTTGCTTTTGGAGTCATTCTCTGGGAGAAATGTTCCAAAGTGCGTGCTCGGTTTATTGCAATACAGTTCTGTACGTGATCGAATAATTTCAGATAAACTAAGCTAAGATAAAATCAGCTAAGATATTTTTATCGTCAACACTGACGTTATAGCTGAGCACGCCGCCTAAAAAAAATGTACCATACAGGCTAGATATATTAGGAAGTGACAGAGTGAATAAAACTGGAAAAAAAAGTGGCAAGTGCTGAGTGCACTGTTGCAGAGAATGGTTGTATTGTTGCTGCTACATCTTGCGGACTGGTATTCACATGGGTATGTAAATTTGAAATGCTCAGGTCGAGGTGTGAAGTTCCAAGTCAGCGTGAGAGTGAAGAGAGGATCAGTTCAGCAGTGACCCAATTCCGTCATAGAAACCGTTATGTAGTTTTTATAGTGTGTACTTGCAGCGCACTGTAGCTCTTGCCAGAAGGTAGGACGGTGAAGGGAGAGCGGTCACTGTACCCACCTCAATAGGGTAGGCATATGAAGACGATTTTTTTTTTCTTTTAACCACTTTTGGAAGGACATCCAGTTTTTGGCAATGTCACTGTTACTCCACATTTCTCCTCTTTGTATATGACTTTCTTCACTATTCTTTGATATACTGTACTTGTTGCTGTGGAAATTGTTTTGTGCTCTTCTCTAAACTAATACCTTTGAACTACAAAATCCCCTCTGCTGAAACTTCCTACAAACCATGGCGTTTGCCGTTAGACATTAGCTAGCTAGCTAGATTTTGTATGAATTTATATGAAATGTACAGAAGTGACTTTTTGATGTCGGATAAAATTAGATAAGACTGTGAAAAGACAAACGTCGTTGGACAAAATTAGATAAGACTGTGACTTTTATCTTATCGGGGGCATTATGTGTTTACTCATCTATAGTCGGCCAATGTCGGTGGACTGCGGCGGAAATCAGTGATGTCATCGTGACGATGTGGGCGGTGCTTAAACTCCAGCATCCTCCTCCTTCTCCCTCCTCCTCCTCCTCCTCACCCTCATCATCACCTCCATCGAGCTGTCTGATGATGATGCTCTCCTCTTTTTTGTCCATCTAAAGTCGTACAATAACCCGCCATGCGGTTCGTTTCACGCCCATTAGGACATCTCGCATCGCACTTTGAGGTAAGACGACGCGACACGGCCACATTCTTGCTCGAGCATCGTCTAGCGTGGGGCTTTTCCGTTCCGAGCGGGCCTTTTAGGCAGGCAACTGGCAAGCATGCGTTAACTCCCTCCTGTGTTATTATCGATTTGATGCGAGCTGACAGTACGTTGATTAATGTTATTTTTGCTGTGATAACACACCAACAAAGAGGCATTCTGCAGTATTTTGGCCAGCGGCATCGGCTTAGCCTGCATGTCGGAAGTGGGAGATTCTCGGCCTGCACCACACGGGTGACGTGAGAGGGTGCCGGGGGAGAAAGAGGAAGAAGGGGGGGGGGTTGAATGCTCAATGGCCATTTTCAGCACCGTAACGGAGCGTGCGAGCATCAGATGTCTCAGTCGCCATACATCAGCCACTTGGTGCCCCTGCACTCATGACTGCATGTTTGCTATAAGGTCAGTGTGGAGTAATGCACACAAGAGGAGGATGCTTGTGGTCCGAACCGGGCCTTGGACAGTGCCACACGTTAGTCTCTGCTAGTCTGCATCTGCCTCGGGGGTGTCACACTGGCCTAATTTTAACACATCCAGCCGTAGTGACAGAGGGGCAAAATGGTGATACTATTACGTTAAAAAAAAAAAAAAAAGTACACATCAAGGCTATTGGCTGCTTACAGCATTAGTAGTACTGAGACATGTGTTTGTACAGAATGTAAAAATAATCAAAACAGCATCACAAGGAATCCACTGACTGGCTTTACCCAAATGGAGTGCAATTAATGTATTATTCTTGATGCTTTTTCTTTACACCATTAGATGCATCCATCCACTGAGTTGATACTATATTTTGCCAGACTCGTTAAAGTTCCCTGGTTGCTCATTTATACCGCCTTTAGTTGAGCTGTTGATGATTTCATTGCATAATGCGGATTAGCAAGTCGCCTCAAAGTGTTCAAGTGAGAAGCAAAGATTATAAAATGCTATTAATTGAAAGTGTCTCAATGCTAAATCTAATTAATTCTTCTGGTGAGTTTCACAGTAATACACGCTATCTTCTTGAGTACTGATGGCTGCAAATAAAAATTGTTTTCCGAATAGATTCAAATGACAAATGTGTGACCGCCCACGTCCATAAATGATGATTCAGTTCCTGGTTTGGTCCATAACATGTAAAAAAAAAAAAAAAAAAAAAAAAAGTTAAAATGTTGAATTTTTTTTTCCAATAGGAGCTCAGATGCATATTTTCTTTAAACACAAAGGTCGTCAATTTGCTCTCAGGAAGGTCAACAGAAATCTGAGAATATTTGATGAGAAGAGATTTGCTAATTTCTACACCAATATTGTCAGATTAAAATGGTTTGACCCCCAAAAATTGTTTTGCTTTTGCTTTTACTTTCGTTTTGAAAGATTTTGGGTGGCTCCAAATTGCACGGTTCCATTTTATTTTTCTATTTAAATATTTAGCTAGTTTTCCTTGAACAAAAGTTGCCTACATCTAGAATTGAAGAATATACTTTTTTTGGGTGCATGTACATTGGATTTTATTTTCTATACGAAATGATGTGGCTGGCCTCCAGTGAATGTTTCTCTAGTTTGATCATATAGATGCCAGCAAGTTACGTGAAGACTATTTATTTTTGTTAGTGTTTTGCATGGTCAAGGGCCCAAGTGCAGGGAAGCAGGAGAAGCAAGGCAGGAGTGCAGTTTAGCTCTCCAACAAAAATAAAAGTATTTCCATAATAAGTCTAATAATGAGAGGGATATTAGAGGGATAGCTACCCCACAAAACATTCCTGCAAAACTTTTTGGACATCGACTTTTCAGACATCCACTGATTCTGCTGTCGAGTTATCAGGTTGACCCGCCTGGTCAAATTTCTTTTCCCATAATGTCAGAGAAGCGGCCAGACCCTTTGGTGGACTTGCCAGCGGATTGCTGTCAGAAGATGAAACATGACAGTAATCACCTTGGAAAATACAGTAAATTCATTTCTGGTTTCTAGGTTAATACCGTATTAGTACTCTTCGTAAACTGTGGTTGGCTTTGCATGAAGGTGTTGTACATGGCAGCACCAAAATGAGGACTCATTATCTTCATAGACTCTGTAATATTTCCGATCATCTTGACCCAGCAATGATCAAAGAGCACATGTCTTGTGGTCCACATTGACATGAGTTGTTTAATCTGAAGAATAATCTGATTTTGGAGCCGTGGGAGCCAGAAGCATGATTGTCAATTATGAATGGCTTTTTTTTTTCTCCCCATATGGATTTTTACAGGGATACCTTTAACCAGTGATTCCCAACCGTGGCACCCGAGTGTTCCTTGAGAGATCAGGAATGTCGCAAGAAATGTCACTTAATTTGTCTGGGGGATGGCTGTGTGTCAGCAATTTTTACTTTTAAAAATTAATTGTCGCCCACCCTGAGTGTGAGTGAGACATTGACATTCTTTAACCTTTTGGGACTTTTAAAACTTCTTGCAAACACACGGAAAGATTCCAGAAATGTAAGATTGGAATGTGCAATGCAAATGCAGGCACTGTTTTCGTTGGACGAGCTCCACAAGAGTGACTTAAAAAGTAAATCAAAGGGCACTTGATTGCGGTGTGTTACGTCCGTGTTGATTCCATGTGACTTTATCTTTAATCTGTATTGCAAAATCTTTTAAGCAATGTTATGCAATTTCTTCTCTGGTTATCTTTGTATCACTGGTTCCCATACGACTCTTCGGGAAGATTTAGTGGGCAGCTCACTCAAATTGTTCAAATTAGAAACACAAAAATAAGCAGAGGCGGAATGGAGAAAAAGCAGCAGATCGAGGAAAATGCCGTTGGTGTCGTGCATCCGAAATTACTTGGCATTGCTCTTTATCTTGTTTTAATTGCCCTTGCAATCTTTTCAGTGCATCTGTTGTATTGAGCAGAAAAATCCGATGTAGGATCTTTCTCATGAAATCAACAATGATTTAATACGTATCTCAATAAATGGAATGGTTCGATTCAAATCATTTTTCCACGCCTGCAAGACATAAAAAATCAACTTTTCCACATAATGAATCAAATCTTTAATACTATGGTCTGTCATTATGCTCATTTATTCTAACAGGAATTGATTAAAAAAAATGTTCACCAAAGGGGCCCCCCAAGAATAATGACATTCTGCACCGAACTCTTTCATGCCTCGTTGAAGTGCTGTGCTGATCCATTAAAATTACCTGTCACTCATTGTCGAGACTGACGCATTTGAAGAACAGACAATATTTTTGCGTGACTTGCCCTCTCTAACTGCAAATTATGCAAGCTGATATGTTTGAATTGCTTTCAGGATGAATTCAAATCGCCTTCTAGAATACTTCCAATGTGTTGTCATGCGAATGGAAATTAATTGCTACAGTTGATCGTCTTGGAACATTCTTTGATCGCCTGTGCTTGTTGGCATTCAAGAATCGAAGAATTTCCTCACTGGAATTGTTAGTGTGTCAAAGTAAACAATCTTGTCTTGAGCAATGAGAGACTTGATACGATAATATCTGCCGATTTCAAAAATATTGGATGAGCGCCAGCAGGCATTCCAAGCAGCTCCGGCGATGCTTCCTCGTTAAAATTTGGATGAGCATCAAGATCGATGGCTTGATTGATTGGCCATAGATCGAGTCGTGTGCAGGCGGGGAATTTTTTTACCTTGAATTTTACCTATAATTTAAAGGCTTCTTCGGACAGAAACATTGCTGAAAATTACGCACATCCTGCGCACAGCGATGGCTTCAAACGACCAGTGAAATCGCAGCCTTTGCACTTGGAAAATCACATTTCCCTTTGTAACATTAACACTCCACTTTTACTACATTCTTGTCTGTAACTTAAAAAAATGTCTCTGCTGGTGCCCCCCCTCCCCCACCCACTAGACCCTCGCCCAGCCCCTTTGTCGAACAGGAGAATGAAGAAGAGGAGAAACGGGAAGCCTTGGGATCACCGTGGACCGTTTCTGTGAAGTCTCCATGAACGCATCAGAAGAGACATTCTAGCAATTGAATCAATGGCCAAGAAAGGGCGTGCGAAGGGCGAGAAGCCCGAAGCACTCATTTCTGCTTTGCAGGCAGCCAATGAAGATCTCAGGTCCAAGCTGACTGACATTCAGATCGAACTGCACCAAGAAAAATGCAAGGTACTGTCAAACAAACCCAGGGCACAATGTAAACATTTTTGCTTATTGCCTTTGCACGATGTCTCAAAAGGAATCTGCCACCGTTATGTTGCGTAATTTGAATTTTAAGCATTGATGACAATCAGCTATACCAAGTCCTATATCTATTTGCTTTATGTGCATTATTATGTAATCCTGACATTTGAGCTCTTTCCCCCGCGCAAAGGTGAGCAAGCTGGAGCGCGACAAAGTGCAGGAGGTGAAGCGGGTGCGCGAGCAGGAGCAGCACCGTCACACCGCCATGCTGACGGAGCAGCGGGCCAAGTGGCATGAGGAAAAACAAAAAGAGCTCCAAAGCCTCCGCGAAAATCTGACGCGGCAGCATGAGCAGGAGCTGGCGCGGCACGCCAAAATCAAAGACCAGGAGAACCAGAGACTCAAGACCGCGCTGAGCGCCATACGGGACGGCAGTGGCGAGAAGGTGAACTAGTACCCATGAATGATGAATGTGTTTTGGCAAAGTTCCAGTGAAGTATGCCCACACTTCAAGGTGCAGATGTACTTCCACAATCTAATCTAATCTGTGTCTGTAGGTGCGCACAGCATTGACTCTGGAAGCTAAGGAGGACGCTCGCCGCTTCTTCGATCAGGAGAGAGTGAAGCTTCTTCAGGAGATAGCCGAGCTGAAGTCAAACAAGAAGCAGACAGACGAGGCTCTCAGCAACATGATCCAGGCAGATAAAATGAAGGCCGGCGACCTGAGGGTGGAGCACCAGCAGCACCAGGAACAGATCTCCAAGATTAAGTGGGACTGTGAACGGGACATCCGGAGACTGGTAACGCACGATCACCGACACTCACCATTCGCTGCCACTATACCAGTCAATGACGTTTTTCAAAGGGGATGTGTGCGGGGGGGGGGGGATCTGATGCTGCTCCATTGTAAATTTCAAGCTTGGAAATAACTTTCCTGTAGGAGTACCTTGGTGCAGAGGATAAAATACCTGGCCAAACAGGTCCCTGTCTTTGCTCCTCTCATATTCCAGGTGGATGAAATCAAAGCGAAAGATCGCATCATCTTCTCCCTGGAGAAGGAGATGGAATCAACGACAGGGTTCCTCCAGAAGCTGCAGCTTCAGAAGGATGCGCTGGATGAGCAGCTTTTCCTGGTCAAGGAGGCCGAGTGCGGCGCGGGAAGCCCGAAAAGAGAGATTCCGGGTCGCGTTGGGGATGGCGCAGAGCACTGTGGTAGTCCAGTAAGTACATCCTTCCTCTTGTGTCTCTGTAAACAAGTCCACAAAGGATGCATGAAAGCAACTTAACAAATTAGCGCGGCCATGGATTATGAACTATCACACACACATATCATTCAGATTTCATTGGTTTGTACTTTTGTCTCTCATGACTGCCTTCGTATCAAGAATACCAACTCATCGGTTGTCATGATCTAAGACATACGATGAGTGGGCGTTATCCGTTTCTGATCCATTTTCTGTAATGTGACCGCTCGTGAGGCCTGCATTTCTGCATATCCAATTAAACTGTGCTTGTGTGTCCACTAGTGTACACTTTCCTTCCATACGCTGCCTTGATTGGTCATGCAGACACATGTCAAGTTTTAGTAAAGCGGCGAGACATAATGAAGCAATGGCAGGATTTTTAAAACGCCTTGCTACGAGGAGGTAGCACTTCCATCATCATTTCCGTCAGTAAATTTCGCCAGTCCTCCTATCGTCAATCAGTCAGTCCGTCCATATATAAATTCCATGTCATCCATAGTTCAAACTATGGAACATTATTAATTCTCAACGACAACAATTTTTAAAAATATCAGTCCAGAAGCGTTGTGAAATAGGGCAAAAGAAAAAATCAACTGATCCCAAATTTCATCTCACAATGCTGATGAGTTATCATGAATCCAACCATAGAAGCCTCCAAGGTTGATTGGCCGCTGCATCGCAGGAAGGATGTGAAGCATGTTTTTGTGGTCTGTAAAACCATGCGCGAAGCCATTTTGGCATAGCAGTCATGAGGAAAAGAAAAAGACTTGTGCAAACGGACCAACCAAACATTGTCCACTGTCCGTCAGACATGCTTTGACAGTTTTCAAAAACTGTTCCGGTCCTTGTCCAGATACATTTGTCTGTGCTAGTGACATGATTATGATAATAAATACGACTTTTTTTGTTTTGTTTTGTTTGACAGGACCTGAGAAGAAATCAAAGGCGCGTGGCTGAGCTCAACTCCACGATTCGCAAGTTGGAGGACCGAAACTCGCTGCTGGTTGATGAGCGGAATGAACTTGTATGTTGACTCCTGACTTCGCCTCACTGCTCGCAGCTTCTCGTTCCTCCTCGCCAACATTCGATGTTCCTCTGAGCAGCTGAAACGTGTGCGAGAGTCGGAGAAGCAGTGCAAGCCGCTGTTGGACAAGAACAAGCTGCTGAATAAGCGGAACGATGAGCTGACTCTGACTATCCAGAAGCTGGAGGAGAAAGCAAAGAATCTGGCCAAGGAGAACCTTGAGATGGTTAGCACAGAATCGCACGAGTACCCTTCATTTCTGTAAAGGCCAATTCACCTTAGCGTGAATTTTGTTTGTGTTATCAGAGGGAAAAGATCAGTTCTCAACCTCCATTAAAGAAACCCAAGTCTCTGAATGACCTGGACCAAGCCCACGATGACCAAGAAATAGCCTTTCTCAAGCTTCAAGTCCTGGAGCAGCAAAGCATGATTGACGAGCTTGCAAGAGTAAGTTTTGCATGTGCGTGAATGAGCATCACGACCCGTGACCACGTGGTGGTTTTGCTCGGTCACATTCCATGTTAATCGCACGCATAAGGATCATAAAAATACTTCAGTCAGCATTTACAGTGTGGTTCAGTTTCTTGTAAGCATTGTTTTGATTTGAATTCTTCTTCGGTTCCAGGATCGAGAGAAATTGCTTCGGAAAAAAAGACATAAAAGGAGTTCCAGACCAATTAAGGTAAAGACATTTCAGATTTATGTTCAGTCAGTCAAAAATGTTGTGGTTCTTCCACAAAATGGTGGTGAACAATATGTCTCGAGTCGTACGTTTCAAAACGGCATTTAAAGCAGTGTCTTGTACAACCTATGAATTTAGTTAATCAGTCGAGGAAATACACTCATTGGCCACTACAATAGGTACACCTATACAGTCGAATGAGATTCAATCCAAGAGTCGTCACAGAATTCTGTCATTGCTCTCAGTGTCATTGCGATATATTCAGTCATTCGTTTATTCATTCATTCATTCCGTACTGTGTGTACAATTGAGAGTTTCCAATGTTTTTTTTTCTCACCATTTTATTTCATTCATCCATAAATCTTAAACCGCTTGACTTTTATGCAGAGGCACATTGTCGTGGACACATACTTCGGGTATGATGAAGAGTCAATGGATTCTGAAACGTCCTCGGTGGCTTCTTTCCGCATGGACCGGACACCGGCAACTCCCGATGAAGACCTGGATGAGGTGATCATTTGATTTCTACTCCTCACTAATCAAGGCGTCTCCAATGTTTCTTGACAACATGTTTAACCTCTTCAAAGAAGCTCAGTGCGTCAAGAAATTCACGATGCCTGCGGGCTTTGCTTTTCCTTTGGGTTTTTTTTTTTTTTTTTTTTTTGGTTAAAGCGTCCAAAATTGTGGAAACATACATTTCTGGGAATGAATCTAGGGATCAAGTAACAGACAAGTCCCAACACACAAATGCTTACTCAACCAAAACACATATGGAGGGTTTAACATTTTTCAATTTGTGGCTGATTTCTCGCTGTGAAGTGCAGCGTGGCTTAAAGCAATCCTGCTCATTTGAAACTGTCCAATTTTATCTGATCTTGGAAAGAGCTGCAAGAGTTTGAGGCCACTAAGAGGTGCCTGGAGTTGTCCCTGTTGATAGAAAACAGATGGTTAGATTATTGATTGACAGTTCACGCTGTGTTTCTTGAACGCTTGTTCGTTAGGGTCTCGCCAATGAAGAGTCTGAGCTGCGGTTCCGTCAGCTGACCAGGGAATACCAGGCTTTACAGCGTGCATACGCCCTGCTGCAGGAACAGAAAGGAGGCATTCTGGATGCTGAGATGGAAGCCAAGGTACATAAAATGGTGTCTGCCATTGTCATACTAGCATCAGTTTTGTATTTGCATTCACTATATTAAAAATATGTTTTGTTTTGTTTTTTTACAATGACAGAATTTTGGGGTACATTTTTTTTCATTGCTTTATAAAGCCAGATGACGATGTCATGACTTTGGAAGCTTCGGATTGTTGATTGTTGTTATATGTCAACACTTGAGTTAATTAGAGACACACCCGTGACTGTATTTGAAGGCATGTGTGAGACGCGCTGCTTCTTACTTAACATCAGATATCAGGATAGCAAGTCAGGAACTCGCATGAGTCATTTTCATCCTTGGGCACAATTTCCAGATGAGTGTAGGTGCTTCAGTTCAAACAATACGGACGTGTGTATACCGTGAAGAAGAGATGTTCAGCCATCATAATGCTCAGGAAGGAGACGTGTTCTGTGTCCCGGAGATGAACTTGCTAAAATGCTTTGCGTGTCATTATTTCTTTTTTGTTATTCATCAACATATTGAATCATGATCCTCTCACATGTTCCACTCGGCTGCCATCAGTTAACAGACACGGTAGCGCATCCAATAATGTTCATAAAATCGGTGGCCATCTCGTCGATAGATGCAGTAAATTCATTTTCCGCTATACAGTGCTCTGTCACAGACTCATAAATGGACTCATGGGTGTGGATGGCGGGCCTTCATGATGACTGCACTGTTTTTCGCCACGTAAGAATGCGTATGTTTTTAGTTAAAGAAGTATGCAGCGGTAGCCACAAGCGCAAGCACATGATAGCGAGATTTGAGCTCAAATGCATTTTAGGTGAAGAGGTGCTTCACTTCATCTCATGACTACAGTGGTCCCGTTAGACATATATACAAATGACTTCAAACACAATAGTCACGGTGCTGTATTGGGGGTTTTCTCCGAATACTCCTGTTTCCTCCCACATTCCAAAAACATGCATGGCAGGTAAATGGAACACTCTAAATTGTCCCTAGTTGTGATTGTGAGTGTGAATGGTTGTTCATTTATGTCTGCCCTGCGATTGGCTGGCCACCAGTTCAGGGTGCACCCCGCCTGCTGCCCGAAAACAGCTGGGATAGGTCGATAGCGCACTCTCATGAGGATAAGTGGTTTGGGCCATGGATGGATGAGTGTCGGAAGGTTCGTCAGCCCCGTTTTGCTGACAAATGATCAAGGACGGAAAACTTAAAAGAAATGATGGACTAAGCACTGGCTGAAGTGTGTCCGTCACTGTAATCACTGTTTTGTATGTATGGGGAAGTCTCTTAAAGAGATTGAAGTTTTTGGTGGTCAAAAAACACCTTGCAGCGAGTGTTGTGGCGGACTGGAACATGATCGGGCCGATCAAGTGAATGAAGCAGGAATGGCCAGCAATCCACTAAGTAAAGTACAATTTAGAATACAAATTATTCTATATAAATGAAATAAAAGTTAAGAAATATTTGTAAAGTTTGAATTTTACCTTCAAACATGTTGTGCTGGTCGCAAAAGTACCATCATTGTTGTGCTCCGTTTGTCACTTACTGTTGAGTGTAAGCGGATGCTAGCTTGCGCTGCGCGAGTGTACCTTGGTAAAAATTCAGTCACAGGCTTTTAGCGAAGCAGTGAGAGCAATTTCACCCCATCACAAAATGAAAAAGCATCACCAGCTATACGAGCTGTTTACTTTAGTGATCACTGTCACTCAGTCTAATGGGTCACTTTTTCGATATTTCAGGCTCAGGAGCAGCTCCAAGCAGACATACTCAGGTACAAGGCCAAAATCGAAGATTTAGAGAGGGAGCTGACGATGAAGGGTCAGGTATGACACACACACACACACACACACACACACACACACACACACACACACACACACACACACACACACACACACACGCACAACCATCTGCCCATTGATAAAATTGTGTAATCTGCAAGCTATGCTCAAATGATTTAAGATCAAGCAGCAGACAATGAGCGTTTTTAAATGGGATTTACCTTGTACTTGTCTTACTTACATGTCTTGTACCTGTGAGTGCAGTGACATGGAACGAAAATAATTTGATTCCTAGAATGAAGCTTTACATATCTCTGGGCTGTGGGAAAAATAAGTGGAACAAACAAAAAATGTTCCCTGTTAACATCAGAATATGTACGACTAATGTTCTCCGTCATTTTAATCGGTTGATACGAATGTGTGTTAAACTTGATTAGCCACTACTAAAAAGTGACACAGACCAATTTTCTTCAAACTTGACTTCATGCTGCAGATCAAAGTGCCCGAGTCTTATTTTTCAAATTGTTTGACGTCAAGTCTCTTCTCCATCAGGACTCCAAATGGGTGGAGGAGAAGCAACTGTTCTTACGAAGAAATCATGAACTTTTAGAGAAGGTTGGATATGAATAACGCATCATTGCAAAGAGCTTCTTCAGCTAACATTTTCCCTTTTAAACCGTTTGGTGTCCAGGTAGACAAAGTGGAGATGGAGTGCAGTCGGGCCCAGCAGGAACTCCAAGACTCCAGGGACCAGAATGAACTGTTAGAGTTCAGGATCCTGGAATTAGAGGTGCACCTCACTTACTCTCAAAGAATGTTCCCACTTGATGAGAAATAATTTGTTTTGTCGGGCAAGCGAAAATGTGAGCAGGCTGATTAAAATCTGATCAGAAACAGAAACTGGCGATCTGATTTTTGAAGCCTCACTTTGAAACGCTAAACTGCACTTTGCAGTCATTCTCATTCATTTCCATGTCATATTTCTATTTCACGTACAAACCTACTCGAGTCGCAATCTCAACTCGTATTCCTTGTAGGCTTTATCATCGGTTGTGTGGATTCCGAGATTTATAGCTTGTTTATGTTGGAGAATTGTATTCAGATGCGCGGTTAACGACGATGCGCGTTTGCTGCCGCAGGAGCGAGAGAGGAGGTCGCCTCCTTTCAACCACCTGAGGATGCATCCCTTCTCAGAGGGAGTCAGTGCACTGCAGATCTACTGTATGAAGGAGGGCGTCAAGGTACCGTATGGAACGCCGTTCGAGTTGGATTGTGAAACTTATGTAACGGGTTTACATGCTCCAGTCTTAATAGGATCCCATGCGTTGCTTCCACAGGATGTGTGCATACCAGATTTGATCAAACTTTTAGATATCCTCGGAGACAACGGGGTAATTGACGTCACACGTGCATCGTGACTTATTTGAATGAAAAGGATGCAAATGCTCATTCACGCAATTTCCTTTTTTTCTTTCAGAACTTGAGGAATGAGGAACAAGTGGCTATTATTCAGGCTAGCACCGTTTTGTCACTAGCAGAAAAGGTAACGGTTTGTTGCCAAGCCGAATTCGTTTTCTACTTGGCTGTTTATCACTTGCTGAAGCTTGTTCTTTTCTGCCCTCTAGTGGATACAGCAGATTGAGGGAACTGAGGCAGCCCTGCACCAGAAAATGATGGACTTGGAGATAGAGATGGTGAGTGGCACACTCACAGCCTCCATCCCTCCATCGGCATCCATTTATAGCACTTGCTGGCTGGAGCCTATCCCACACAGGCGAGATATTCAAATGGGATCATTAACTTTTGATCCTAACCCTCGACAGGAGATGTTCTGTAAACAGAAAGGATATCTGGAGGAGGAGCTGGACTATAGAAAACAAGCTCTGGACCAGGCCTACATGGTAAGCAGGTGTTCTTTGTGAGCAGGGTCCGACATTACCTGTGGCCCGTTGGCCCTGTGGCAGTCAATGAGTTTTAGCCACTTAAATCGATCAAGCCATTTACTGCACATCACATATTGTTTTTACACATCAGGTTCAGAGTCCTTGATCGTCAATTAGAATTGGAACGCACCCCAAAATTTATTACGCAAATGGGTTTCAGTGTCGAGGCTTCTGAAAAAAAAAAACAACACTCCATTTATAATTATCCTGGCTAAGCCTTTGCATAAGTCACAATACAAAATCAAATCACTCTTTGTAATTAATGACAAGAAAACCACATACTGTCCCTTGCCTCTTGCTACCGGCTCATTTTTTTTTTTTAAACAGCAAATCCAGGAGTTGGAGGCAACTTTATACAACGCTTTGCAGCAGGACAAGGTAATTGGATCTCAACACAACATGACATAACAAAAATAGTATGACGCCCCAATGCAAACCATCACTCATAAACATCTTGTAGGTGATCAAATACGGCGAGCCCCTGGATGAGCTTCAGCGGGATGAGCTGCGAACGGCGGTGGAGAAGCTGAGAAGACAGATGCTGAGGAAGAGTCGAGAGTATGACTGTCAAATCCTGCAGGAAAGGATGGAGCTGTTGCATCAGGCGCACCAGGTACGTCCGTGTGTGCGTGATTGCCAAATCAAGATTATAACAGCGCGGGATTTTTCATGATAGTTTGTTTTTATTTAGTTTCACTCTTGTTTTTGTTTTTATTTGGTTAGTTTTAGAGTATTTTTTCTTTCCAAGAACACTGTTTTATTAAGTTTTTTTAGATTTATTATTAGTTTTAATTTTTTATTACACATATGAAGTGTTTGTTGAGTGCAAGATTTAGAAAAAAAAAAAGCCAAAAGCTCCAATTCCCAAAGCACTGTTCCTTCTTCTGTATGGGTGAACAGTAAAACTGAAAAAAATACAATTAAAATGAAACTCTTGGATGAAATGAATCCACAAAGATCTTGTTGGTTTTAGTTAAAATATAAATGTTAAAATGTAGTTCCAGTGAAAAATCTTTTATTTTATTTGGTTCATGAAAATATATATATTTTTTTCAATTTTGGTTTGAGCTATTTTTTTGGAGCTATTAGTTTCTGTTAACCTTGAACCAAATGAATCTGTTTTTTTTTTCTTTTTTTTTTTGAAGAGAATTCGAGATCTTGAGGACAAGACAGAGATCCAAAGGAGGCAGATTAAAGATCTCGAGGAAAAGGTAGACTTGCACTCCCCCTTGTGTATGAAATGTCATCAAAATGTTTCTGGCTCAAGAAATATTGGTGACTTCCCGCACCGTATTCCTCCGTGTGTGTTCCTGATGTGACTAACATGCTGCATGTTCCTCTAATTCTCTCAACTTCTCTCTTTCTGTCTTTTTGCTTTCTTTCTTCGCAGTTTTTGTTTCTATTCTTGTTCTTTTCTCTTGCCTTTATCCTTTGGCCTTGAGGTCTTTGGCGTGTCCCGAAGCAGAGGTGAGTTAGGGGGGTCGAGGGTATTTTCGGGTGGATAAATATTGACTGTGTATTATGAATAATATGAAACATGCCACATTGTAGAGCAGAACAGTCTCATTTGTCACTAACTTAAGTTCCACTTCCTGGTTTCTGGCCTTCAGAATTAAGGTGGGTTCAAGATGAGAGCGTAAAAGATGGAAAAAATGACAGCCACAATGCGAAACATATTAAATGAGTGTCAGTGTAAGATGTGCAAGATTATCTTTGCAAAGGCAAAAATACAATTGTTTTTCCACATAATGTGAACAAAAAGAAGATCTAACGATAAAGATTTCAACCCTGTTCCGCTTCCTGTCACCCACATTTCATATTTTCCCTCTGGCTCTCCTTCCCCTCTTTCTACGTTGTTATATAACTTGTGCTCTGGTACAGTATTCGCTTTGAAAATCACCGTTGTGGTCTATTATTTTACTTGCGAATATGCCAACACGTCACGTCATGTCTCATAATAATTAGCATAATCATATTATTAATAATAAAAACAATGCTGATAAATATCATTCATACAATAATAATATGTACCGTATTTTCCACATTATAAGCTGCACCTAAAAGCATTCAATTTTCTCGAAAGCCGAAAAGTGCGCCTTATAATCCGATGCGCCTTATATATGGATCAGTATTCTGATTTCTCGGATGTAGTATTTTAAATGTTTTGTAAAGGGTTTGTGACAGCCGCAGCAGTTCTGAAAGCGCTACATAAATAAAGCTGCATTGTATTGTATCGCTTTTAGCGTAGCTCCATCTAGTGGATTCATAATGCATTCACAGCTACTATAATAGCTTCTATTCTATGTGCCTTATAATGCGATGCCCCCTATACTGAATATGAAAACAATTTTAAAATAGGGCATTAATTGATGGTGCGCTTTATACGCCGAAGCGCTTTATAGTGCGGAATATACGGTAGTAGTGATACTGTTTATCAGTGCATGTCAATAATTTTGAATACTGTGGGAAGTTTAATTCAAAATGTAACACTGATACATAGGTTGAAGAAAGTGAAACATTTATGGGTTTTTTTTCATATAGTTTGGATGATTATAGTTTAGAGTAATACATTAATTTGTTTAATTGTTATTTTTTTGCAGGTGCTGCATCAGGCCAGAGATCCCGTTTGTCACTGCTGTTGTGTTATTTATTTTTCATCCGAGTATGGTGGAGCAACAGTGGCTGTTTGTGTGGTGACAGTATATAGGTACGAGTCAACTCGATGTTGGCTGGGAATGCTCACTCTTAGTTATTTTCCTTTTAAGTGGGTCTCTCAGGATGCAGGACTGCAAGAACAATACACGCACACACACACACACACACACACACACACACACACACACACACTTGTGCACACACGCACACTTGAGAACACGCACTCGTGCATATGCAGTTGTATGGAGATGCACGTCCGTGTCGCTTTGACAAATCCAAAACCAAAGCCTGGGAAGTAAACGTTGTCTCTGCCATGCAGGGTAATATTAATAACAATAATGTGATAGGGTGTCAGCCATCACTGTTTGGGGGAAATGAACAGAACACAAATACCCGCCCACAGCTGATTGTCTCCTCTTTTAAGAAGCCTAAAAGAATGGAAAGACAAACAGGGACCGTCGGACTGCTCCAAATGCAAGTGGAAGACACTCAGGTTGGGAGACTTGAATAAAGATGAACAATGGAGACCTCAAAGTGTCAGGATTGTCAACACTCTTCGGAGTTTTTCCTCCAGAAGCTAGCAAGTGAAGATCTTTACTCTCCGGTTTTATTGGTTTCCCTTTTTCTAACAGCACCCCAGGGCCCAATACATCCACAGTTGATATTCATATGTGCATTGAAGCCATTTCTTTCATGTTGTTCTGTGAATGGTCACACTTATACGGTACATGTGTCGCAGTTCATACGGTCCAGCTCGGCAATTTTGTATTTTTTAAAAGATTGATTAGAATTTATTATGATGACCGTTGCATTTTTTTGTGACATCATAATAGGAAAAAATTGAATGTGGATCCCATCCCACCTCATCCCACGCCCCCTTTTCCCGCTTTCACCATGTAGTTGCTCTTGCTGACCAGCCGAGGGCAGACTTGTTCCATTTTAACGCAAATCAATGCACCCTTTAAAAGTTTTAAAAAATCTGGCTTGTAAATATTGTCAAACCTTTAACAGATGTATACAGATACTGATTGGTCTCCACCGTTTTAAATATTGTGATTATTAGTTACAAACAAAATTATTATGAAAACAAAACTACCCATTTTCATGGAACGACTGTTCTTATTTTTGCGAACCACTACTTGGATACTAACCAGCCCCAGTCTCTTTTCTTTCACAAAACTTGAACCCAGTCCCTGCAATATGTATAATGCCATTCTAAATATTTACCATCGGTACATATGCGCTCCCTACTTGCCTCATGCCCCATCCATGACTTCACGGGGAATGACCGAGACTATTTTTGCAGTTGCCTTCAATGCATTTCCTCCAGTGTTTCACTTGTACATTCGAGGCCCCCTTATGAAAGTGTTTATTCTCACTGCCCCAGATAGTTGAATTTATTGTGTTATGTATATTTAAATCTATATATTTTGTTTTTAACTCACAGAGGAATTTTTTTTATCTGTCTTCCAACAAAAATTGACCGCCCCCCTACTTTCACGTAGATGAGTAAATAAATTGGACAAAGTCAAACAGGACTTTGATGGATGACACATGGTCTTTTTTTTTTATTGGGTGTATTTTATAAGCATTTTGTGTTCGAACTATGTTCATAACCAATTAAAAGAAACTTGTCAGCCATCAATGATGTTTCCCTCCAGATGCGTATTACATTAAAGTAAAAATACCGCATATCCAAAGGTCTGCCTTTAGAAAGACAGTAATGCACAGAGGGATGTTTTTGCATTCGAGTCGATTGCCCAATAAAGTGAACAATAAGTGCAAATAACCAAACAAAACAGACATGAGCCTTCATAAGTGGACAGTCTCTACTGCTACTGTCCTTTCAGCACCTCTAGGTCATCCGATATCATCATCTCTTTTTTATTTTTTTTCCTCTCACGTGCAGCCAAAGGCCCCAATTGGCTCAAAGTACTCCCACGAGAACGATGAGTGACATGGCAACAAAAGAGATGAGCTGCACTCAGTCAGCAGGTGGCCATGAGAGAAAGCTGAGTGGAGAGGCAGACATATAGAGACACCGATTAAACAACAAAATAATACAAAAAAAATTTTAGTGCACATCAGGTCAAAATGAATCTGACTGAAAATACTTAATACTATGAAGAGACAATTCAGCAAACGTGAGAAATGTACTGTACATGAAATGGCGATGAAAGATAAGGTAATAAACATAATACCTAACCATTTTTTTTCTTATTAAATGTACTTCATCAAGTGACTGGTACTGTATTATTTTGTTACATTTTGGGGTGTGTAGGAAATCTGATTCTCAAGTTTTTACAACAACTAGCCCCTCCAAAAAAAGATTTGTCTTTCCAAGCACTACCATCATGACGAACATTAAGATACAGTAGCATAGTAGGCCCAACTGTTCAGAATACCGTACACAGAAGTGTTCCAATGATGCTTTTAAAGCATAAGTGCTGGCACTAGCATGGGACAATGATTATCATCATGATATTAAAAATGGATGCAAAAGGCCAGTTAGTTTGTAAAAAAATAAATAAATTACTCCGGAGGGATTCATTTTGCTCCTGGCTGATAAGTGCACGTACTGAAAGTGCAATGGTGCATAATGGAGTGATTGGGTTGCGAATCCACGTCCAGTGGTCCTCAAGGAGCCGCCACCAAAAGGCCTTACGGCAACAGAGACCTTTCGTAAGTGGGTAAGTGGGCCAACGATGCACACACACGCACACACACACACACACACACACACACACACACACACACACACACACACACACACACACACACACACACGTCGACCGGAGTTAATTTTGACTGCGTGTATGATAACCCCACCTTTTCGTCTTACATCTTTCCCAGTGCACTGACTTGTAAGTTCATTTGCTAACTTTGAGTGCGACTTCCAGGAAAACAATCGATCTGATCTGTCTAATGCTAATTGTGTGTTGCTAAGCAACAGGACATAAACAGATTGGGCAGCTGCATCCGATTGGGCTTCCACATTGGCCTACCAGATGCCGCTGGAATTAAGTTAGAGAGGATGCGCGGTCTGCAAATTAAGTCTGTCTTCGACGAGCAAGTGTGCATGTAGGTTCCCTCATACAACAAGAATAAAGCAGCTGCACATTTAACTGCCCGTCTGTGTTGTACATATATGTCTATCTATATCTATATAAAATATATATATATATATAGATGAATATAATTTCAAAAGATATGCTTAATTTGAAATAGGCCACTGTCAATAATGAGGTACTTCATCAGTTGCTTTACTAGTGTTTAAAAAGGTTTGGTGATTCATACAAACAGAAAACGCATTGTAATATTCTTTACTCCTGACTGCACACACACACACACACACACACACACACACACACACACACACACACACACACACACACACACACACACACACACACACACACACACACACACACACACACACACACACACACACACACACACACACACACACACACACACTTTCTCTGCCCCCAGTTTCACCCTCCTCCTCCTCATGTGTCACCAGTGGAGGCTTGCAGCATGGCAGAGCACAAGGGCAAGGCAAGAGACGACCTGACCGGGTATCAGGCCCGACCCGCTTCCACAGAACAGGGGGTTCGACAAAAGTACGGTGGCTTGTTCTGCAGCGTGCGTGATGCCTTCGACAGTAAGACAATAGACTTCGATGCCCTCAGCGTGGGCCAGAAGAGGGGCCTCCGGGCATCCAACAGCCCATATCCAACAAGTCCGGATGATGTCGGCTCTGGTTCTGAGGGGATGAGATCCAGCAAAGAGACTGGATCCCTTCAGAGCTGGCAGGATGAGAAGGTGAGCAGCTTGAATTCATGACAGAACCTTGTCAACACTGACTTTGTATGCTTTGCAGTATTCGGTGATATGTCAAGGTGATCGCTATTGGACATTTATGCATTATTTCTTAAGTACTCTATTAATAGTCTTTTTAGTCTTTATTTTTTTAAGATTGACCACAGGAGAACTCTTTCTTATACATTCACACTTTTCCCAATTGAACATTCTTCAATGGATGATATGTGCAACATTGTTAGCATTCCATTGTGTAAGTGTACTTAATGTTGTGGCTCGTGGTAGATCCTGTTCATAAAGTCCATCTTTTGTATTGTTTATCATTACCTTACACTCAGTGTATGGCGAATACATGTTATATTTGAATGTGTTGTGGTTTTGGGAGGAATCACATTTCTAAATTACAGGTGAAAAAGTTTGTGAAAACCGAACCTGGAAGGGAACACTCGCCTTCGTGTGGCTGCTTGCTGAATTGCAATACTGCAACTAAGTGGTGACTCAGCAGCAGACAGGTACAGTCTGCATGTGTTGACAGATAATGACAGGACAAGTTGGCTTCATGGTGGATAAAAGTGGACTTAACAGTGATGCACAAAACATAACGTTGCTAAGTACAGCACTTTCACCTCCTGTGACAAATGCCAGTCGTCAGCCATTGTTAACATTTACTGACTGCTGTAATGTATGTTACATCATAGGGAGGACAAAGCAGAGCTGCAAAATTGAAAAGCACGAAAAAATGCTGAGGATGGTGAAGTGCCACCTTGTAATGTCAGCGATGTGTCACTGACTCTGAAGTTAAGAGCGTCTGAATGTTAGTGGACAGGGCTTCTGATCAAGCCATTTTCAAAGTCGGAGGCGTGATAGAAAACCTCATGGGAGACATGGCAGCTCCTTAGAGCTAACTGCGGCTAGGTCCCTTTTTGAAACATTTTTTCAACACTTAATAAAAAGTCTTTGGTCAAAACACAGAAAATTGAAAAAAAACGACAGCTCACCTGGCCCCCACGGTGCCAAGGGAGACTGTGGGATTCGTTACGATGATGACTAGGGGAAGAACTTGGCCATTGCAACTAAGTGAGCATGGGTGTGAACATGTGTTCTAACCATTAAGTGTGTATTAGTGCTGATGATGGAGTCGTGCAGTGCAGTGAAGGCGGAGGGTGCTCTTGCCATGGGACTAAACAATGGAGTCACATGGCTTCGTTAGGGGGTATTAAGTGTGTATTTGTGTGAGCGTGAGTGCGTGTTGAGAGAAAATGTGTGGGTGTGTCATGTGCTGGAGAGGCTCTGTGACAGCTGCTCCATCAGTTCACCCCTCCTCTGTTTGAAAACATAAAAAAGACAGTTGAAAAAAATTAATCAGTAAAACACAATGATTCTACTGCATTTGTCACATTTTGTCATCTATTATGAGATATATGTACATATATAGATAATATATAGGTACTACAGTTTTTGACTAAACTAATTTGCAGCATTTAAAATCCATTTGTAATTGCTTAATGTATGAATTCATGCACACTCTCAAAAATAGGGGTCCCTCAGGGCACAATCCACACTCCCCTAAAGGTCTAATTTTTATTTGGATTCCAAGGTAACAGTTTACATGCCCAGAAATGTCCAATGAAAGGGAAAAAACAGTCTTCACCATCTCAATAATTAGTCACTCAACTTTTAAATCAACAAGGATGTACATTTGTGTGTATCAGCGCTTTAACATTGATTTTTGCATCGTGAATGTACATTAACGTTCGTAAGAACGATAATGACTTCCATTTTGCAAACGTAGACCTCCTCATATTAGTAAAGCTTTTTAATAATTAATAGATGTCTTTGATGGATGGATGATACATGGACAGATAGATGGTGAGATTTATGATAGGTGGATAGGTGAATGGATGGAAAGAGCGATGGTTAAATCCTGTAGATACGTCGATGAAAGATAGAAATATGGCTGGACAGAAATGATAAATAGTCTCAAAAATGAAAATTTTAAGTGCTATATGTATATCAATGACAGTAATAATTTTAATTTATATTTATATAATGAACGTTAACGACATCAAATAATATATCATATTCTAATAATACTGCTACATATTGTTTTTCTCCGCTCACTGTCATTGTGTTTCAATATAATTTTGCAATAATTTGAGTGGCGACTGAATGCAAGCGTTGAGATTTTAAGGGTTATCTGGCGTCCTCTAGCGGCAAAATTATGCCACTGCACCTTTCCAATTGAGGGCGGGGCCGGCGTTTTCAGTCCGCTATTTGGACCATTGACGCTCCTGCAACACTTTGCGAGCTTGGGCGCGAGTGTGTGTGTGTGTGTGTGAGAGCGTGTGAGTGCGAGCATCGGGCTTCACTGTCATTCCCGGAACATTCCACAAACAGCATCCGTCCAAGAGGGAATAATCATCTTCTTTTTACACCCCGTGTTGTGTTCATTGGTTTAAAAAAAAAAGGAAAAAAGAAGAATGTCTTATCAAGGCAAAAAGAACATCCCGAAGATCACGGTGAGTAGTTCACGACGCTCCAGGGAATGTGGGAACTTTGATGGCTGGTATAAATCACCGCATTAGCGTTGGCTGCTGCAGCCGTAAATCTCCATACCTTGCAGCAGCGCTACTGTTTAAACAATGTCATTCTTATGCACACGATTATTTCAGTCAGCCCTTATGCTGCAGTGAGGACATTTTCCTGGGCATGCATGCACTAGGCGTTTTCTTAAAGGTGTCCTGTCTCCTGTGTCTTTGTTGAGGGACTCGCCCATGAAATTACTAAACATTCACTTCATTGGTTTTCCCTCTGAAATATAATTTCGTTATTAATTTGTTTTCATGTAACCCGCAGAACCTTTTTTTGTATGTTTAGCATTTTACAGGTCTATTGAGGGTGCGTTTTTGTGTGATCGCCCCCCACCCCCACCCCCGTCATGTTATCCTATTATACCTTCCAACTCCAAATCCTAATCAGTTGCCGTTTTAAGAGGTTTTTCAAATGATCAAACATAATTCCAATGGGGATTTTAAGATTTCCAGAATGGCCGTTGATGGTGAAAGCTTGTGTGGTGCAGAGGAGAGAGTGAAAGGCAGGGAAGGTGGGAGGCGGATGGTGAGGAGAGTGGGGTGGGGGGGGCGGGCACACGCCCATTTTGGGATGATGTGGGATAAAGCAGCATAGGGGAAGGAGTGTCTCGAATTGTGAATTTCTAGAAGGCGAGCGATTGTGTCACAGCATGCACGGCCGAGGTTGAATGGAGGCCAGTTCAGACAGCTGCGCCTCTGGTTTGTCTTCCAGATTCAGACCTCTCCTTTGTGTATGCGTATGTGAGAATGTCATGCTGGCCGGTTTTCATTGCTCCGGCGATGTGCAGTGTTGCGAAGGCTTTGTTTTTGCATTCGGTGGCTTGAGCCTCAAAATTATTTCTAATCTAATGGGGAACATGCATTAAATCCAGCAAGGACACCTTCTTTTTTCTCCGTGTATCCTTACCTGGCCTGTTTTTGTGAATTTTTTTCACCTTGATCATGGAAAAATACCCACGTCCACTGACAACGGGCTCATAGCCATATATCATACAAAAATACAATTTGGGACCATCACCATCAAAACAACAATGTTGAATTGAGGGGAGGAGCTTCATTTAGTTATGCCATAGCCTTGTCTAATAGAAACATATACTTTGTCCACATCTTGTGACATCCATTGGCACATTCATGTCTATTCCTTACACATTTCCTATCGCAGCGAGGAACACTGAATGATATTTTAATAGTTGCCACATACACTGTTTATATTTACACAGATAATTTTGCTTTTTTTGTCATTCTTATTCATGTATGCTGCCATCTGTTTTGCTGCTCTGAGACTGGAATGGAACCCCCCCCCCCACCTTCTTATTCTATACTGTTCTAGTCCAGCTGTTTCCTCACATTAGCCTGTGCCAAAGCGGCTGTCACATTTCTAGGTGCGGTTCTTCCTCCCGTGCTCCCTTCACAGTCCCCTCAGCGTTCCTCTGTCAACCGGTAGCCCGCCGACCTTTTGCGCTAACCCCGACCCTACCCGCTCTGCCGTCTCCGATTGGGAATAAGCACCCGAAAAAAATCCCAACCAGGAAATTAAACCCGAACTCCGGCTCATGCCATCAGCACGCACGCTGCCACAAAGTGGGATTGTGTGCAAACAAAACAGAGCGTGGCCTGCCCAGATGTGACTCACCATAGCAACCGGTGTGCATTCAAGATGCCTCCAAAACACCCCCACCCCCCCCCCCCCCCCCCCCCCCCCAGTGTTGCTGCATTTCTATTAGCGGACTTCACTGTCTTGCAATTACTTCCAATGTATCTGAATTCTCGGCTGTGAACAAAATGCAGCCTTTATGGTAAATATTTTGTTCTCATAGCAACTAGGGGAAAACAGAAGCGTGGATGCAGACTTCCCATTGGGTCCCAGCTGCCCTCCCAGCCCATACAAAGCCACCCACCATAATGCAGGCTCCTATTAACATCCTGTCCAACCAGGGAGTTGACCTGTATTATTTCCAATTATGAGCACTAACAAGGGCCTGAAATTCTCTCCAGTCTCGGGATATTGGAAAATAGCACAAGAACAGCATCCTCTCATCCGTTTTTTTCTTTTTTTGTAGCTGGCAACCAAATGGCAGTTTCCTGTGGAGAGAGACGTGTGCTATTTTGGGAATTTTTTTTTTTTTTTTTTTTGACGACCAAAGAATTGTTATTTTTTGTAAGCTGCACTTTGTACTTAACTTCTACTTATCTGTCTGGAATTATTATCCAGAAGGACAGAATTTTTTTGGGAATTTTTTTTTTTTTTTTTGACGACCAAAGAATTGTTATTTTTTGTAAGCTGCACTTTGTACTTAACTTCTACTTATCTGTCTGGAATTATTATCCAGAAGGACAGAATTGGGTCTATTTTTGTCACAGTCTTGCGGGGAGCTGCAAACATTTATCCGTTTTCTGTACCCTGATCGCCATTACGGTCGTGGGCGTGCTGGAGCCTTTCCCAGCTGACTTTGGGCCAAAGACAGGGTGCACAGCTGGTGCAAAAGTAATTACATCACGAACTACTGACCTGGCATGCGTACTACAACGTTTCTGAAAGGTGAGATTCGCTTTTAAAAAGCCAAAGAAACAGCTTCCTGTTTATATTTGGTCACTGTCATGTAAAACAACTTAAAAGGCAGCTGATGGCCTTGCGTGATGTTCGTGCTAATCCTCCCGAAATGCTTCGGTTTCGTTGCCAGCTGATCAAATCTGTAGCAACGAAGAAGAAAAAAAATCCTCAACACAGAGAGGGGACATGGGACAGTCATTCCTAACATGGGAATACATTTCACCATTTATGTCCTGTAAATCTTTCCAAAAAATGAGTACATGTGAATAGACTTTCCGTCATTCAGCATTTACGCAGGCCAAATAAATGTTTTTTTACTTAAGTGGCATCTGCGACAAACCTTGAACGAAGCACTAAAAGCTCATATTAACATTCTATGTGAGTGATGTATTTCATTGTAGCTATAACAACAATGTCTAGATCATTGGATTGGGATTTACGATTTTTTTTTCTCCTCACTCGTAAAACAGGATGCAGTCACTGGGAGTGACAAAGTCGGACGTGACCCCGGAAGGTCGGAGCAGATCAGGATCAAAGACATCACGTCAGACGAATGTTTGCTGTTCCTATTCGACTCCCTCTTTTCTTCACACATGCAATTAGTCTTTCACTCACTTTGGGCCGCGACTTTTAAACTGGATTTAGCATCCTGTCATGTGAACTCCATGAATACGGCTGCCAAATGGCCTTTAAAGATTTTGCCTCAGCATAAGTCTAAAAGTCAAGAAAGCTTTACCTCGATTGAAAAATCCAAAGAGGATTATTCAGTCTGAGACTGGATCTTATTACTTATTGACAAATACTTTTTTGGGTCATGGAGTCATGCAGGAAAAAAAAGCTCAACTGATCGGAGGGTTTATGACCTCAAATGCTAAAATGTCGTGCGATGAACTCAAATTCATTAATGATACTCGGTCAAGAATTTTCTATATCAATTGCAAACATGGCATTATTCAAAGATATGTCTTCCTATTTCAGGATTAACGTGATACTGGACGCAAATATGCGCACGGTGCTCTTCATCACAATAACGCTTCACATTTGACAGTGGTGGAGCGTCTATCAATCAATTGCAAAGAAGGATCGGGAAGTTAAAATCAAATCTATCAAAAGTAATAAACAACTAAATAATGGGACGTGTTACTGTTGTACATAAAAGTATTTCATGCTTGGTATGTTTCAGTAGTATTATGAATAAAAATGTCATTTTGTATGTCAAGTAGTCCAGTATTGTAGTACTGTTTTGGGTGGTCTTCATTTTTGGCAGCTCTGTGGTTTAATCAATCGATACAGGCAATGCTGAATATTTTTAGGCGAGCGTCAATTGGGTTTTGTTCACTATTTGCAGTGAATAAGGACTCAAAGAAACCACAAACTTTGTCAGTGTTATCCTAGCCACAAAAATTTTGCTTTCCGGGACATCAAATCTTGAAAAATAAATGCATTGTCAGTATGTGGTGCAGGGTGGTAGACTTGAGTGATGGTTGTAGTGCGCAGGGAGGAGATGGTGTGTGGTGCGAAATGAGCGACAGTTTTAGGGCAGCACTGATGTGTAAGCGTGTTGCGTTCCAGCTATGACCGAGTGCTCCAGTCTAATAATGTAATGCTTGCAGGGTGTGGTCGTCTGCAAAGTCTCTCGGAGCTCTCTTTCACGCTCACCATCACTTTCGCACAAGGCAGATTGATTGTAGCTCTTGGAATACAAACAAAAGTCTACATTTTTTTTACCCTGGGAGGGACGAACTACAGCGCTTCAACAATTGAATCAACTGTCAATCGACCGGGGGCCCGACTGAATTACAACATAAGACATTCAGACATTCCCCAGCCGATTTTTCCGATATTTCCCCGACAAATGTTCTGGCTGTCATGTAAGCATGATGCAACCAATATTTGTAATTCATTTCACCCTCCTCTGATTTGATCAAAGAGTCCCCAATCCGCAAGCACGCTCAATGATGCAATCAGTCATTAGCCAGTATTAAGCAAGTCACAATCCTGTGTGTGAAATTTACAGCTCGGTCAGAATATCCGGAAACATAATTGACGATTGTTTACATTTGTCATCACACCACCGAGCAAAAGCTGCTTCAAATAAATAGCGCGCATTACATTTTCAAAGCTGTGGTTGACTTGTTTCGTATGACCCTCGAATTTCATTCCCTCGGAAACAACCGCCATCGGTTCTCTCCAACAAAAGGAAGCGCCAGTCCCCTCGCTAGCCGCCCTCCCTCCCTGCGGTGAACCCGTTGCCACGGCAACTGCACGCCGGAGTCTGTCCACAACACGGCGGCAGAAGCAGACTTTGATTTATCTGACTGTGTGGCGTCATGGCAACGCTCAGATCAGGCTACATGACGTGATGCAAAGTTATATGCTGGCATATTCTTTTTTTCTTGTCCCCAGTGTGATCTCACTATAGGCGACCTGAATTCCTGTTACCGCTGCATCTCTTCAGGATATATGAAGCGCACATTTCCTTATTCCATTGTTTTTTTTTTCCCTCCCCGCAGAGCGACCGACTCCTGATCAAAGGCGGCCGGATTGTCAATGACGACCAGTCCTTCCATGCAGACATCTACATGGAGGATGGCCTCATCAAGTGAGACCGGCCCTCTTTATCCTTCCCTTTGACTTTCATCCCTCAGCCTCTGCAGCTCTTAAACGGCGTGTGCAAATCCTTTACCAAGATATTCCAGGGCGAATTCAGTTGAAGAGGGGGGTGGGGGGGCGGAGTGAAGAGCCCCATGTGTTAGATCTTTGGAAAGTGGGGGGAACGCAAGAGAATATTTCAGGCTTGAGTCAAGGAAAAAGTTGATTCACTCGTACAGTATTCTCACCGTTCAAGACTTTTGATGTGTAACTCGGCCTTCATCTTTTCAACTATAGTCGTCCTCTTGATCATGTCAACCTTTATCCCATTCGGTCGTAATTTTGGCCTTTTGTTTCACCCCTTGTTCCTACTCCCCCACTGAGGGAGGCTTTCACAGGAAGCCCTCTGTTGCATAATAAACAACCAAATGAGTGCTCGGCTATTGAGCTGCTGGCAAACTCTCACAGGCACAGCACACACGATGCTAAAGTCCTCCGAACCCGAACTGGTTAGCACTTCATGACGTTAACTTGTTAACATTTCCATATCCCAGCTTTTACATCAGCTAACCGATTCTGGTCAACACTCGGTCAACACTTCCCACTCCTCACAACGATTAACGCCCGCTCATCGTCTACAGGCAGATCGGCGACAACCTGATCGTGCCCGGTGGAGTGAAGACCATCGAAGCCAACGGCAAAATGGTGATCCCCGGTGGCATCGACATTCACACCCACCTCCAGATGCCGTACCGCGGGACCACCACCGTGGACGACTTTGCTCAGGGGTCCAAGGCAGCTCTCGCCGGGGGCACGACCATGATCGGTAAAAACGGGAGACTCGGTTATACTCAGAGTTAAAAAGTACAGATCGGCAAAGAGAGTGTCCTAAGGGCAACTGTCCAAAGCAAGTCTACACAAAGGGTTTATTAGTGGTGGGGGGGTGGGGGTGGGGGAGTCGGATAACAAACTCTTCACTGTGTGTGTGTCTGCTTACAAAAACACGTCTACTGTGTGTCCGTCACAAGCAACAGCTGTGATGAGATAGTCGCGTCGTATTCATTCCATGAACTTCGATGAAAGTTGGCAGAGAGGCATCGACTCACAGACATGCCCCCTGTTAACCGCTGTTCAACGCAGCCCATTCATTTGTGGCGGATTATATTTCAGACGGCCCGGAGAGTAAGTGCAAACGTTCACTCTCTGGGTGGGTAAGGCTTTTTCTTTTTCCCCATGACAGAAGATGTCATTGTGAATATATATATATATACACATTTTGAGTACCGTATTTTTCGGATTATACGTCGCTCCGGATTATAAATCGCACCAGCGAAAAAAATGCATAATTAAGAAGGAAAAAACATATCAAAGTCGTACTGGAGTATAAGTCGCATTTTTGGGGGAAATTTATTTGATAAAATCCGACACCAAAAACATACATGTCATCTTGAAAGGCAATTTAAAATAAAAATAAAACTAGAGAACAACAGGCTCAATAAGTGTACAATATGCTAATGTTACATGACCGCTTAAACAACGAACTGTGAATGTGCCTGGTATGTTCACGTAACATATTAAGAGTTATTTAGACAACTATAGCACAAAGAACATGCTAACAAATTTACCAAACCATCAGCGTCACTCCAAATCACGAAATCCAATGAAATCTTCATGCTTGGTGTCACTTTTAAACAACTCCGCCAACTCCGGTGGTAGATGATGCAGCGCTTCCTCTTCTACGTCGCTTACGTCAGAGTTATCGTCAGTTGGTTTTCTCAGTTAGCGCCAACGTGGAAAGTATCAAAACAGGCCGAGAGCACCCTCTTGCACTTTACTGTGAAAATAACATGTGATGTGTACAATGTGTTAACATTTTTGGTCAGCACAACCCCTGAGTGATGAAACAATAAGGACTGAGACTATAGCCACTGATGGCACTGTGTTACGACGACACGCTCACGCTGTGACAAAACAAAATGTGACACGTGCCAATGATTGATCGCCACGGGTAGATCACGGCCAAAACGCACACTGACAGCTGATCCTGCAAAATATGAGCCGCCAGCTACACAAATCTTGGTTTCACCCCTGTGGTGACTGTACTCCGGAAAATACGGTAATTATTGGAAGATTACTCTTAGTATTTTTCCATCAAGTACCTTAATCAGATATTCTACATGGACAAGAAAGTTGAACTGAAGCTCTGAAACATGTAAGATAAGAACATATGTGACAGACATAATGCTTTCACTTCCCCGGGAAAACGTCAAGATTTTTGGAATGGGGTTTTTGGTCAGCACTACCCCTGAGTGATGAAACAATAAGGACTAAGACTATAGCCACCGATGGCACTGTGTTACGACGACACGCTCACGCTGTGACAAAACAAAATGTGACATGTGGCAATGATTGATCGCCACGGGTAGATCACGGCCGAAATGCACACTGACAGCTGATCCTGCAAAATATGAGCCGCCAGCTACACAAATCTTGGTTTCACCCCTGTGGTGACTATCCCCTGCCTCCACTGTGCCCCCCCATACAGTGGACCATGGGATCCCAGAGGCGGGCAGCAGCCCTCCGGTGGGCACTTCCCTCATGTACGTGTGTGTGTGTGTGTGTGTGTGTGTGTGTCTGTGTCAAGGCGAACTGTCGGTTTCCTGTTTCCAACAAGTGTCATGCATCTGGCTTGAGAACTGTCAGTCACAATTACTCACAGCACGCGAGATATTTTGGGACATCACGCGCAATGATTGCAGCGTGTTCGGCGATCGCCGCCGTCTCGGATCAAAGGCAGAATGTGATTTACGATCAGGCAACATTTTGTGATTGTGATTTGTTGTTTTGTGTCTTTCTTTCCTGTGGCTGTAGCTCTATGAGGTGTTTACCTTCTTGGCGGAAAGGGGGGGCATTGCTCAGGTCCATGCGGAAAATGGAGAGATCATTGCAGAGGTATAAGGAAATAACTGTAAACGTGTGTTCTTCTAAGCATGTTCTCGTGGCTTTAATTATCTTTAAAAGAGTGACCAACTCGGATCATCTGCTATTTTCTTTAAAAAAAAAAATACAAAAAAAATCAGCTTTGATTTGATAAACCACCACAGCTGTGGAAAAACAACCAAATAGAGACCCAAGGCGTAACTTTTGAGGTGTCAATCATTCGTAAGCACACTGCTGCGGTCTCTCTCAAAAAAAAAAAAAAAAAAAAAAAAAAAAAAACAGAAACAATGCGTCAACATTTAGAGTTGTGGTAACACTACATTATAAATAATCTGCTTTTTCTGATTTGAAAATGACAAACATCTCTTCAACTTAAGACAGTGACGAATGTTAAACAAAAAAAAAATAGTGAACGATGCACACATCAGCCCACAAATATGTATCGGTCCAACAGGAGCAGGCCCGTATGCTGCAGATGGGAATCACTGGACCGGAGGGGCACGTGCTGAGTCGGCCAGAAGAGGTTGGAACACATCAAAAAAAGATTATTACAGTACTACAAATGCATGTGTTGGCATTTGCAACCTGAAAACATGATAAGCTGTCCACTGGAGTAACCGCTGTCCCTGAAAAGGTTAATCGTGGACGTCTGCATCTCGGTTCTGATGTTTGAGGTTCAAATCTCCAAATGCTGTGAATGTGAGTGTGAATGATAGATTGTCTGTCGGGGCAAATGCGATTGAAAATGAATGTGAACTGAACCGCTACCGTTTCTGGCATGAAAGTTCGACGCCCCCACTTTTGGTTGGAAAGTATTTATTAAAAACAGCCCCAAACGATATTTGCTGTGCCAGCGTTTATGAGAGAAACCGTGAACACCATATTCAACTGTGTTTTTCTTCTTTTGTTTTTTTTTGTTTTTTTTTTTTTGCGGGGGACTTCCGTTAGCTGGAGGCGGAGGCCGTTTTCCGAGCCATCACCATCGCCAGCCAAACCAACTGTCCCCTCTACGTGACCCGCGTCATGAGCAAGAGTGCCGCCGACATCATCTCGCAGGCCCGCAAAAAAGGTAAAGCCGCCCCGTAACCGATTTGGTTTGTGTTTTCTAAACAAGAGTTTACCTGCTTAGGAAACGTCGTGTTTGGTGAGCCAATCACGGCCAGCCTGGGCACGGACGGCACGCATTACTGGAGCAAGAACTGGGCCAAGGCGGCTTCTTTTGTAACATCGCCACCTCTCAGTCCTGACCCCACCACTCCAGACTACCTAAACACGCTTCTGTCCAGGTATGACTTCGCTTTCGAAACACTTCTGCACATATTTGTGCAATGACAATTTTTCAAATGATGGCACGTGCCTGTTCAGGCAATCAAGCGCGTGCTCTCTGATAACAACGAGGCGGCCGACATTGAACAATGACTGACATTATAGTGGAACAAGCAGACCTCAATCACAAATCATAATGTATGGGACACAAATGATGACATACGATGATAGGACTGTACCATTTTTGAAAAATTCTGAGGCCACGGTAGAGGCTTCCATCGTGAGTGAAATTGTACGTTTGTTTGCTCATTCATCTGAGTGAACAGACTACATTTAGGTTCGGAAAAATGACATATTTAACGGAATGGGATTGCGCTATTTGCAATTTGGGGCGGGGTGGAATGCTTCTATCGGGACTGAAATAACGGCAAAGTCCTGGAACAAAAGAGATTTGTGACAGTTGTCTGCTAGCAGTCGACTTTCTGGTTTATGACGTATGATGTCAGTGACAGATAGATGGGGCTCTACTATATTTCATTTTGGGGAGAGCAAATATAAACAGATGTTTGAAAAAAAAATGCTTGTTCTCTTTTTTTTTTTTTTTGTGACGAGGCTACTTTCTGGTTCGTGTCGTGCGAGGGACTTTAAAGTTGATGACCATTGCTCAAACTGCTCAACAAACGAACAAATTCCCCTTATAAAAGTGAAAAAAAGTTGTTACTTTGTGTTTCTTGGCAAAGGACACTGGGATAAAACCAGGATGAAGCAAACAGGACTATACCATTTACATTTTCGTGAGGGGTAACGCTTTCATCGTGACTCGAAGAATGAAAAGAGAAAATAAATTCCTCCATCAAAAGTGCAAACAATCTGATTTTTATTTGTTAATTTTGATTGTTGGCCATCACGACACTTTCGAAGTTCCGAAGAATGATTTCAAACATTAGGAACCGAATGCCATTTGCATGAGTGGAAATGGGTTGTGCAACAAACACGGATGAAAACAATGCCTCTCGGCCTCGTTGTGCTTTCATGCTTAAATAAAACCTCATTGAAAATTTGATTTGAGTGCAAAATAGCCATAAGTCATACGTGCTCGCGTGCGGGCTTCAATTGCTTGCGCGAGTTAGCCTTCTGACATCATTTTAGTATTGAGTTATTTTCGATAGTTATACAACAGACCACCAGCTTTCTGACATCATGCTAGGATTGAGTTATTTTCGATAGTTATACAACAGACCACCTCGCAAGCGAGTTAGCCTGTCATGTGGAAACAGGAAATGGTTTCAGCTAAAAAAAAAAAGCCTTTGCTCTCTGCTTTTTTGGTGGGTGGGAATGTCACTTGCGTATTGCAGACACAAAATGCGGTTGTGTCACAGTGTGTGTTTGTGTGTCCTCCAGTGGAGACCTGAGTGTGAGCGGCAGCGCTCACTGTACGTTCAGCGTGGCTCAGAAGGCCATCGGAAAGGACGACTTCACTCAGATCCCCGAGGGGGTCAACGGGGTGGAGGAGAGGATGACCCTCATTTGGGACAAAGCTGTGGTCAGACACCCTCGCATTTTTACTTTTGTATCTTCTGCTATTTTCGGGGATTATTACGGATGCCGTCATTTAAGGATGGGCAAACGTTTGTGTTCTTGGGCCATGAGATGTGAAGGAAACAAGTGTACTCAAAAGTTTTAATGCAAAAAAAAAAAACAAAAGACAGAACAAAACAACAAAAAAAAAACCATCAGCAATTAAGTAATTGAGTCCAAAAATAAGAAAAATAAAGCAGCACAGATGAAACACCAACATTTTAGCCTACGGAGGAAAACATGACAACAAATGCTACATAACAGATGACAACAACAAACGGACGCAGACCGAAGAAAGTTGGAAACTAAATACTCACCCAATTGACGAGACAACGAGGCACACCTGGTAGAAGGCATGCGGGGCAGCTGGGGGCTGATTGTACCCAAGCAACAGGGCTGACGAGACCAGGTGTGAAAAAAAAAAAACCCAAATGAGTAGACAACACATGAATAAGAGACACCGAAAAACATAGCAACATGAAATTGAATTCGAATTAAAGTCAACAAAAACACAGACTACAAGGTAGAGTAGAATTTCATTTGGACTAAAGCAATCAAATGTATTACAGAAATCCCTAGTTCACCTTACTTGAGGAAATAAAAATACAAGCAATACAACAAACGTTTCTGAAATGCATCAATTCATCTTTTATCTTTGAATATCCGACATGTATTTTAGACCACAGGCAAGATGGACGAGAACATGTTTGTGGCGGTTACCAGCACCAACGCGGCCAAGATCCTCAACCTATACCCACGCAAGGGTCGGATCGCCGTGGGCTCCGATGCCGACCTGGTCATCTGGGACACCGACGCCATCCGAACCATCACGGCCAAGAAACACAATTCGGTGCGTAGGGAACCGCCAATCATTTTGAACCTCTCCACTGCGTAAAACTAAATGAAGTAGATGTACGGAAGGGTAAGCAATTCAACATGGAAGTACAATAAAGAGACAACATGTGTTCTTGTGAGTAGCAAGGCGAGAAAACACATTTTTGACCAGTGTCCAGGGAGCTCTGTGTTCCTCGGAACGGAAATGAGGTCTCAGAGGATCTTCGTCTGACTCACAAAGTACATCCATATTCACGGAATCAAAAGAAAAACATTTAGGTAACGATAACAACCACGAAGTGGCGTTTCCAAGCATCAATTACACGACACTGCTTGTATTGTTTTCCACAATAAGCGCTGTAAGTGTTTGCACACGATCAACAAATGTGGCTGAGGATAACCAGGCCGAGATCCTTTGGACTTCCAGATAGAACTTGAGAAAACGTGGATGGAGAAGCCAGTAGATGTGCCAGTAGATTGTTCACATGGGAAATTCCGGTAAATGATATCCAATGCGTTAAAAAAAAAACCTCAACAGGGTCTTGATTGTCGCTGTCACTTAACAAAATATTGCGGTTGTTGTTTCCGTTGAAATGCGTCATGAGAGCTGATTGTCAGATTTTCTCCCTCCTAGACCATACCAAAGCGGTCAAACAAAAGACTCGAGTTTCAGTCAGCAGACGGGGACTCAAACAGATCACTCTTTGGCATCGCAAATAATCTGCAAATCTCCTAATGTGGATGACATCCTCTTCGGGTTCTTATGTAATGATGTCACATGTTGATTTCCCACAGCCTGACCGTGCTCACAAACACAAAAAGGGAATTCAGAGCGGTTCCCAGCCACGATAAATCGAACCTAATGGATATTTTGACGTCTTGCCAAGCAGGAGCGGCCATGTTTATCATCATGTTAATGTCGCATATGCGTCTGCGCACTCACACGCATGCACACACGCACACACACACACACACACACACACACACACACACACACACACACACACACACACACACACACACACACACACACACATACACATTTGTCATGACATCACCTTTGGCATTCAGCCACTGGGAGTTCTGCTCTGTTCTGGCGTCAATTTGGAGGTTAGGAAGGAGCACCAGTGGAATGAGGGAGTCGACTACATCACCGACTCGAAACATGAAAACGAGTCCAGTATTGAAAGTGGGAAAATCCCAATTCAGTTTAATCCGTGTTGTTATTTTATCCGTCTTCTCTTCATTCCAGGCCGCCGAATACAACATCTTCGAGGGCATGGAGCTGCGTGGCGCTCCTCAGGTGGTCATCTGTCAGGGGAAGATCATCCTGGAGGACGGAAACTTGCACGTGACCTCTGGCATCGGCCGCTTCATCCCCTGCACGCCGTTCCCCGACTACGCCTACAAGCGTGTCAAAGCCAGGAAGCAGGTACAAAAATGTGCTGAAGTTTGGACAATCATTTCCAGTTCCATTCCCATCAACTCAATTTTATTTGCACTAAAAGTGTCCAGCTAAATATACCGTGCAAAGCTGTTCTGCCTCTTGTTATCTTTCATTATTGGTCCTATCTCAACTTTGTATCTGGTTGTGTGCAGCTGGCCGTCCTGAGGGCAGTGCCCCGGGGAATGTACGACGGCCCCGTGTCGGAATTCTCCATGTCGCGCGGCGGCACCCCGTCCGCCTCGGCGCGCACGTCGCCCACCAAGCAGCCCGTCAGGAACCTGCACCAGTCTGGATTTAGTCTAGCAGGTAACCCTGCGCCATGCGGTGAGCATAACGCCCTCAGTTCCGTCTTCATATCCACCCCTCATTTACGGAAGCGTGGAGCTGCCAGTGCGGAGTAAAAATATTTTGACCGGACAAATACGTTCAAACGTACTTGTAGGCTAAATACTACAAATGTAAAATTTTCCCCATAATGCCATGGGGCATCGACAAGCGCATGCCTTATAGAAAAAAATTGCAGAACGTAACTCAACACTGCAGCCATAATCAAACCATAAAATTCTGAATCAACAATGTTTGCTTATTTAATTTTCGGATGCATTGGTATTGGTTTAATTGAGATATGTTTGGGGCTTTTTTTTTTCCTACAATGCCTTTGACAACAACGAGGCATGCACATCCGGAATTCAATAGCCCGTGGCATTATGGGAAAAAAATGCTCGACGTAAATGATGCACTGCACACATAAAAAAAAAAAAACATAAAATTACCAATGAACGATATTTACTCATTTAATTTGTGAACGTACTGGTATAATGTAATGCAAATCAATACCTCGTAGCTTGATGGGAAAATGCTACGGTTGTAGCATTTAGCTAGCCGACAAGCATGTTCAAAGGTATTCGCGACTCTGTTCGAATGTACTCGCGACTACATATTTAAATACATCATCTGAAGTACGTTTGAATGTATTTACCAGTCGAAATATTTTTGCTCCACACCGACAGCTTCAAGCTTCTGTACTCATGAAAGCCGAAGCCGAGTCTAAATTATTCTTTACCATCATGTTCCAAGTGCACCCATGAGTGCGCTGGAGTATTTTTTTTCCCTTGTAATGACATTTTTTTTTCCCTACAGCTCTTTGAGCTAAATTTCATTGTGCATGTGTACCTAATCTTTTATATACTCAACGTAGAGTAGAATCACGCAGACTGGGGCTCAGTCTCTGGTGGTGCTACCTGTCTTAACAAGCATAATTGAGCATCACAGGGTAAAATAAATAAAAAGGTGATCTCCTTAGGGAAGGAATTTCACGGCGGGCTGCACGCAGGCCTTATTCACCAGACTGGGTGTGTTCTTCGTTTACACAGTTGCACACACCACTACAAAAATACAATCTGACACAAATTGCTACGTGAATGCCTCCACGATAATGTCAATCATCATCAACATGTTTTGAGACAATTTCTGTACAGTATAGTGTCCAGTGACTTATTTGAAGAGAAACCTCCTCACTCGGACTTCCTCTCTGTGCATCCAGGCCCCCCCACTCCTGATGACGCCCCCATCAGGCCTGCCGGTCGTCGTGTAATGGTGCCCCCTGGTGGCCGTTCCAACATCACCTCCCTCAGTTAAACCCCCCGTCCCCCCACCTCCCTCCCTCGCCCGTCCGTCCAAGGAGGACTTCATGTGTGCCTCCAGAGCCAGAGTGTGTGTTCATGTGTGTGAGCGTGGGTAGAGCTGACTCGAACGACCTTGAGTCATTAAAAACTAAAAAAAAAACGCTGACTATACTGTACATGCCTTACCTGCCGCTATGCTAGACTTTGGTTGCTCAAATGGAAACGAAATTGGGAATTTGGGCAACGACAAAGCATTTCAATGGGTCGTTTTTCATTTGATTTGATTTTATTTTGAAATGATAAAACAACCAAAGCACAACCAGTCTCAGCCTTTCTTCTCAACAGTTAAATATGCTCGAGATTCTGTACTGGTGCTCTTGGTAGTTGGTGAACTAATTCATCTGTTAAAAATAAAAGTAAACTACCTGGTTTAAAATGACATACACGTTCATCCTAATTGGCTTTCCATGTATCCATTGTAAATACACTCGACGTCATGTGGCTTTGTGAATGATGTTGTGTAGCTTGTTTTTTTTGGGGGGGGGGCAAATGATTAATAAAGGTACTTGTTAATCCGAGAGGAGATTTCAAAGTGAAGGACATGGAACTGCATGGGCCGCATAAATTCTGGTGACGTGATCCATGATTCTTTTCAATTCATCTCCATGGCGAACCCCCCGTCCATGTGATGTACTAAAACGATGAGAATTTGTCAAACGTAGCAAAAGGAACACCATGGTATTGTTAAAAAAAAAAAAAAAAACATTTCTTCGCACTTGTTAATGTTTTACCGGAGGTCACCTTGAAAATGACATACGAAAACAATTGTAAGATGTGTATATGTGACCCCGTATAGTACAAAAGAAGAAACCCTGTCAACTCTCTGGCTCTACTTTCCTTACCGACATCAACTTCCCAATGGATCATTCTCATGCAACCACATAAACATTAGCCTCCTAATATTCCACCGAAGATTGAAAGTCAAAAGCTGCAGAGGGAGGAAGGAAAGAAGAGGAAGAAGATGCTGTTTTATTTGACTGACTCTAGGCAGGAATCTACAACAGAGTACATTCGGGCCACTCTGCAAAGGAAACAAAAAGTAGAAATGGAAAAACAATAAAGTTGTAATTCTATGACCATTTTTTAAAGTCAATGTGCATGAAAATAGCTACACAAAGTTACACAAATCAAGTTGCTCCAAGAAACAAGTTGTATCTTTAAAACTCCAAAACGTCAAAACGTTACATGAATAAAAGAAACTTTTAGAATGAAAAAAAAAAAACCCGGAATATGTATTATGAGAACAAACCTGTATTTGTATTCAAATTTTTGCGTGAAAAATTTGTAATGTTACAAGAACGTTGACATATTGTTACAAGAAAAAAAAGTCTTCTGGGCAAGTCCTAATTAAAACAAATATATCATTTTTCATTTTATGAGAACAAATTTTCATGAGAGGAAAATCACACACCACATTGTGTGTCTGCGGTGCATTTAGTCACATCCCAAAAGTTGTGTTCCACTCTAGTGTGTTTCAGAAATTAATCAAACACACTTTCGACTAAAAACAGGTCTTTGGATAGGTTTGCATTTTTTTTTCCCGTAACAAACATTTTCTTTTCAGTGTGGCCCTAAAACATCTTGATAGAAATCAAGTTGTGTGTTTTTGTATTTATATTAGTTTGTTTTTATCTTTTTCTTTTCTACTGTTGTATCAACCCCCGAAAATGGCAGAGTTGAAACAAACAAGACGTGTTGTGATGGTCTGACTTGATTCTGGAATAAAAATAAGAGTTACAAATGACTCAAGTGTTTTGTTTTTCTTTGTTTGTTTTTTCACTTTTCCACTAACGAGACTTGATAGCATCTGTCAAGGTCCAACAAAGCATATTAAACTCCAACTTTGGGTGGCCTCTCTGCTTATAATCGTGTTAAAAAAAACAGTGAAACATCAGTGAGGCATTTAATGGCCATGGATGACTAAGCAAAACACTCAAAGCTTTTCGAGCAACAATAAAGAGAACCACTGACTGACGTTCGATTGTTGGTGTAAGAGTGAATCATCGACTCAAGCATTGTGACCTCCACACTTTTAGCGCACTTAAAAAAAAAAGCAAAAAACCAACAACAACAAAAAAAAACCGGAAGACTAAAACCAGCATTTGAATCCAACAAAGCAATAATACATCTCGGCACTAGAGGGAGCTAGAAGCACATAAGAATTTACGAAGCTGTGTTTCTTCAAATGTATATATTTTTAAAAAATGGTAGGTCTATTACCATTCGATTTTTTTTTTTTTTTTGCTTTTTACCATTTTAAATATGTAATGACAATAAATATGTCATGATTCTGTCTTTAATATTACGTTTGGTTTTGTTTTGTAGTCTTGTTTCCTCATGTGCCTGTCTTCTTCGTTTGGTTTATTTCCACCTGTTCTGGTCATCCGGTCCCTTGTGTCAACCAATCAGCTCCGTCAACCCTTTGTGTCTTGTCCAGGTAGGTGTTCCTTGTTATCTCGTCAGTTTGCTTGTATTTAGTTCCTTGGGTTCTGTCAGTTTTTGTCGGATTGTTGTGTTACTGGCACGGGTTATTGTTTCTATCGCTGTCATGTTGTTTGGTTTAACTGTCACGGTTTTTTGTTTGTTTGATACTTTGGCTTCTTGGAGTTTTCCAGGATTTTGTGTTCTGGATTTAGTTTTTTTTCCAGAGTACACGTACAAGTCAACCCCCATGTTGCATATCACGTTTATTTCCAGTATCGTGTAGCTCTATTTAAAACACTCGATGTAGAAATAACATGGCAGAGTCAGATTGATTCGGAAACAAAGTTTAGTTATTATTTAAGGCACACCTTAATAGACACAGTAGAAGAAACACACAGTGACAACTAAGGGACAACAAAACCTCCATCTTGAGATTCACAGGCCTGTTCCCTTTGTCTGATAAACACATTTTAAAGCACACATTAGATTTTGCGAACCGTTTTTCATTCTATTCGCACATGTCAAACTATTCCACAGTGTTGTACCGTAAACTGATCTTAACAACAAATACCAAACACCAACACAAAATAAAATGTAAATCTAAACACTGTACCCATCTTAGATTTATTATTATTTATTTATTTTGTGAAAAAGTGCTAGAAGCATTTAAAAACATATACAAATATAGGACTGAGCGGAGTGTAACATCAAGGAGTTATTGAGCACGGTTAGAAATCACATTAATGAAAGCCAGCGTTTATTTATTTCTCATCTAATTCATCGCAATAGTACACCCCCCAAAAGACATATCTTTGCACCGGCTACGCAGGATTTTTGTAGACAAAAAAAAAAATACATGTATGTACAAAATCAAGTAAAGAAATGCAAATGTATATACAGTACATAAGTAGCATGTTGACAACTTCTTGTACAGGTCACAGAGTTCACTGCATCTCAGACTGAGTTGAACCCTCCTCTTTTTTCTCGGCTGAATTTGTGAATAAATGCTACAGTGGATGAAGATGCATGTGCAAAGCGGAGCTTGAAAGTATATTCCGATATTTTTGTACAAGACTGTTCACCTCAAGCACGCAGTAAAGAAGAAAACGGGAGAATTTATTTGTGCGGCGGCGGTGAACCGAATAGTGCAGCTGTAACGCTCGTGACGGCTTCACTAGCGAGTCTAAGGCTAATAACGCGCTACGACAAACACAGACAGTATAAGCGCAGTTGAGGCATTCATACAAACAAACGTAACTCTGCAGTAAGGCTGGCTTTCTATTCTCCCACATGGAAAACATGATCAGGCTAGCCAAAGCTCCAGAGCCACCTTCAAGCAACTGCCAGAGTCTGCCAAAACTACTGACAGAAACACGACCTCAAAGCCAAAAAGCTAAGCAGAGCTGCCTGGCTGGATACACACATTCGTCAGGGATGCTAAGTATTCTCTAATGCTTTGTCCTTGGTATTTTTTGACAAAATAATGTCACAGATATGTATTAAGACACCTGGGAACTGTATAAAAGAAAAAAAAGACAAAGCATAATATGGCTCCTTTAAGATGAAAGTGTGTAGACCCTGCAAAGAGATCACAAAGGACTAAGAAGGATAAATACGTATCTAAACTACCTCAAACATAGCAGACAGGACATCAATAAAAACACAACGAAAACATGCCTGCTTTTATGCAAGTCGATTTTGATTTGGCTCAGTCCTGGAAACATTTTTGTTTCCATTGTCAAAAGTTGGAAAAGTTACCAAAATATGCCATTCCTATCACTTTTTGGGCGCTTCTTCTGTTGGGTTAGCAAATGGGGCGGAGCTTGCGCACTGTAGTCCGGCGGAAGATAAAACTGTTCTTTCCCGGGGAATAACCGAACATTCTGCTTGTCCTTCATCCTTGTGCTTTGTCACGCCTCTTTTTTTCTTTGTCAAGCTGCTGTGGTGCCTCGTTATTTACACAGCGAGTGCATGTGCCTTGACACAACTGCGGTTGAAAAGCCAGTGTTTTTTAAAATGCCCGTTAAGAACAACCTGCGCTACATTTAACAAGGTTGCATATTAAAAAAAATGAATCCTCTTCTTGCTACCAAATTTAAAAATGGCGTGTGTGTGTATGTATGTGTGTGTGTGTGTGTGTGTGTGTGTGTGTGTGTGTGTGTGTGTGTGTGTGTGTGTGTGTGTGTGTGAGGTCAAAAGCGGAACATTTACACATTTGACCAGTCATGTCGCTTACCTTACATACACTCAAAGATCTTCAAGGTCAGGAAAAGGAAAAAAAAATACAAATCCTGCCGCAATCTCCGTAAAGAGTCAATTTTCTCACCCGGTACTCGTCAAGTCTTTGCAATGTTAGTTGAGGCAACGTAGCGGCCCGCTTACATCAGCGTGATTGCGCTTGCGGGGACGCTATCAAGTCGGTGCCGATCTACTAGCGACGGTGAGAGATAAGAGGGATAAGGTGGCTGCATTGGGGGGAGAACTCCAGTCCAGTTGCCTTATCCTGATAAAAACGAGACAGGTTCCACATTGTTGTTCTGACCGTCCTCGATTGCTTTGTTCTTGTTACATTTGGACAGTTCAGTTGAGTCCGAATCCACTGCTGCTTTCTTGGACCTTGTTCAAACAAACATCGTGTGAAACGTTCATGAATTCAGCAGACATGATAGTGCAAGGCTAGCAGAAGCTGATAAAGTCATAACAACAAGACCACATCGATTTGATCGACTACCTCGAGGATGAGTAGCAGGTTTAGTTTAATTTGTTGCCTTTAAAACAACATTTGGACCAGGAAGATTTTTTTCACTTTTGTGAAAAGGGATTTTTCTTTTTTTTTTTTTTTTTTGCTACGCCAATTACCTAATTTTTTTTCTGTAAATGAACATGCAATTATGCGTGGGACGCCTTACTTTTCCCTGTTGAAGATGATAAAGTCTCTCTGGACGTTATCCAACCGTTGCTGCAACTGACCGTTCTGAAAAAAAAAGATAAATATATTCATTAGCAATTGACGCATTTGAGTCATCAACGCATTTCTTGTAATTTTTAGCTACTTTTTAGTTCACAACTGGGAAAGCACGGTTATAGATGACCACTCGACGCATTTGAGTCATCAACGCATTTCTTGTAATTATTAGCTACTTTTTAGTTCACAACTGGGAAAGCACGGTTATAGATGACCACAACACAATCCAGCGGGAATCAACCTATTGTTTATGAGACCTTTATGTACTACAAAGCACACACTCACTCTCCCCCTTTAGATGAAATTGGCGGAATTTCACAGATTTTTTTAGAAGACGCTTGTGATGTATACTGTAGCTCAAGGCTCTGTTTCTGCCATCCTTTTTCCACAAACTGCCATGCTGATTCATAACCGGAAAATGCATTGTTGTTTCAATTTTCTGTCGAAAGATGTTAACGCAAAAAAAAAAAATAATATATATACTGTATATGAATCCTCCAGAATGATTCATATTCACTAACGATACCACTGGCATGGAAAGCAGAGCATTGGAAATACATTCTCCATCCATCCATCCATCAATCCATTTTCTACCATGCCACGATTTGGCCTCTTTACTCAATCTATGATCGATTAATTAATTGATTAGGATGTGCATATCCTTTGTCTCTGGAGTGCACTTCGACCTGGACGCCCCCTTGAGAAAATGATTGAACCCTGAGCTGCGGGGTGTCATTATGGACAGAGAAGTGCCTGACTGACCTGCTCATTGCTGTCAGTCAGAACCAAGCAGAGAGGCCTTGGGCAGGTACCATCACAGTTGGAAAATGATCAGAGCCAGTGGAAAATAAAAGGGGAATTCTTTCGGGGACAAGTGAGACAAACAAACAGAACCTGAATATTTCAGGTTCAGGTTTAAATATCTGGGGGCTTAGAAGCAGATGAATTTGCACTATTGTTAACCAGACGCCAGCATCGCTATCTTCAACTCGGGGGGGGAAAAAAAAATAAAATAAAATAATCACAAGCTTGACACGACCGGTAAGCGGGAACACCCAACTATGCGTTCCCTTTGTCATTTCAGAGAATAACTTCAAACTCTTCCAAATCAGAGTGATTAGTTGATTGTTTTGTTACCAGGAAGCAGGAAGGTGTTTCTGTAAAATTCAAGCCACAGAGAAACACTGCCAGCAGCGTTTCTCAGTGGACCACAAGGAAACAAGTGAAAGTACTCTACCGCCCTCCTTGTCAAATAGCAAGTGTGCTTATTTAACAAGCTTCGGGCGAGTCGGAAAACTCAGCGGCAAGAGCACAAGAGTCCAGGGGAGGTTTAACAAATATCCGACATGCATCCTGTATTCTCAATAGTCCGATTAGGAAGGTGGTAGTATTACAGTGATTCATCAACAAATCTAAATGACTTGAGAGCGCCACACCTGGCGGTTTAACTGCATTGCTCAAGCTAAAAAGTCATTCATCATTGGTGGGGGTTAAAAATCTTATCTTCACGAAGGTCGCGGGCATGCTGGAGCCTATCCTAAACTGTCATCGGGCAGTAGGCGGGGGACACCCTGAATTGGTTGCCAGCCAATCGCGGGGCACATATTGACGAACAACCAGTCACGCTCACAAACACACCGAGGGACAATTTAGAGTGTTCCATAAAATTGCCATGCCTGTTTTTGGAATGCAGGAGGAAACCGGAGTACCCGGAGAAAACCCACGCAGGCACGGGGAGAATATACGGTACAAACTCCACACAGGAAGCCCAGAGCCGGAATCGAACCCTGCACCCCTGCACTGTGAGGCCCACGTGCTAACCAGTCACCCACCGTGCCGCCCAGCTTCAAATAATTGTCGGTAAGTTCTGTTTTCTCATTTCACGCTTCAGACGACGGGAATACGTGCGAGTGTGGCAAATGAGTCAAAATGTCTGCAATATCTCAAAGAGTTTCAATCGAGTTAATTCGGGGCTACATTATGAGGTTGGTATTAGGTGGGCAGGCGGAGCTAAAAGAGCAAAAAGCGCGGTAAGAGGTGGAGGGGATGTGGGGGGCGGTGGATGAAAAAGAGGTCACGTACGGTGAAGGGGAGTGACAGTGACATGTAGACAGCATTGCGGAAAAAGTCTCGGCACAAGAGTGGAGAGAGGAAATATAAATATGCAAAAAGAATACAGAGATGCTCCCGGGGTACAGAGAAGGGAGCAAGTGGAGATGTGCCTGAGACCAGCTCAAATTCTTCATTCAATATTGATCTGTTACGCTCCAGTTATCATGCTCAATGTCTATTCTTTACACACACACACACACACACACGCACACACACACACACTCCTCACTTTGCTTGGACTTTTTTTTTTATAGCTTTCTAACTTACATGCATCCATCACAAGCGGCCCCGCAGCATAAGTTAAAAGCATTGTACGGGTGCATTTCCAATTCAACATGTTTGAGGTCAACTTAGGGGTCAAATTGCCACCGGATATCTGTGCACTCGGTGCTCATCGTTCATTGTTTTACAGGAGAGTTTGCCACGTATGTGCATACATGAAATCATGGGAGACATTTCAATTCATTTTTGTGACTTTTGGATTTCGCCTTTTGGTGGCAGGTCATGTTGTACCTTGGCAGGTCAGGTTCGACTTTACTTATTAAAATATTACATCCAATTAATATTAACTTAGTTCAGCTGCCACACCATGAACTCGTGGTCTTATGCATGTAATGGCATTTCGACTTCATGGTCACATCCTGCAGCGGAGACCAGAAAAGATGCAAAAAGTCGATTTTGGGTTCATCTGAGTACGTGTTTATTCATCCAAGATAAACCCAATTCCCATTTGAATAATGAGGCTTGAGTTAGAATTTTGTATTCCTGTTGTATATATTTTCATATTCAATTGGGGATGAAAGACTTATCCCACATCTTCAGTTTGTGAGTTAAATGTAGCAATAACACAGCAAAGCCCAGTGGATGCACTTCACTTTTAAGTTACTGTAGACAATAAAGCAAGTATGATCCATATTGCGCTTGCATTTGAACTAAATAAGACTTTGTCCGCTCACTAAAACTACACTCAGCATGTTGCAAAAGAACTGTATCTTCCTTCTCCCTACGCTTTTCAAGCACTTTAGCTGCTGACATGTGAGACCCAAAAAAAAAAAAAAATCAATGTGGCCCTATACAGTAACATTGGCTAACGCACCATGAATCAACACACCGCATTAGATGAAACCTTAAATCACTCACGTTGCCACTTTCATTTCCTTCGCTCAGTGTGCAGAAGTGCGAGTGCTCCAGCCACGTCGCACTTGACTGGCCGATCAAATTAACCTTTCTGTTCTTGCCTCTGTTTTGTATAAACACCCAAAGGAGGACAACTGATTTATGTGCGTGAAAGAAAATTGAAATGGAACGTGCACGAGGACCACGTAATCTGCCTTGCAAAGTCAGGCAGCGGGCAGGCCCGCCCATTTGTTGTGATGGTGAGGGGAGTCCTTAAACGTGTCGTTGACATTCTTCTTTTGCAAGGCACTCACTATGAAGTGTGCACGCTTAGGGGTATCCCACGTGACTGTTTGCTCGTTCGTATTATTTGATGTTACCTGAGGTGACCCATCAGAGCCGTGGTCCCTGGTCTTTCTCGCCAGCCTTTTTTTCTTTTTGTGAAGAGGTTTGGACTCCAGGATCATCTCCTCCAGCTCAAATGTCGGATCACAGTTTAGTCGCCGTTTCTGCCAAAAGTCGCATCAGCGGTTCATCAGGAAAGATGAGCATGAACGAGTGACGCCATGTCAAATGAAATAAACTTAAATGTTAAATCATGTTGCGCTGATTAACAATTTCCCTCCCATCTACACCTTTTTTTGCTGTTAAAATCTACTTGCATTGGGGCTGAGTAAAGCAGGTCGTGCAAGTTGGCACCATTGCTGCCACCTACAGGATTGCAATGGTACAGCAACGTCTGGCACAGTATTTTTCCAACAACCGGACACATGCAGTACAGTGATCCCTCACTCTAACGCGGTTCACTTTCCGCGGCTTCGCTGTTTCACGGATTTTTTTTAGTACAGTTTTTTGTAATGCTTTTAAACAGTGAATTGCGTTCTGCATCCTGATTGGCTAAGGCACTGACCGACGTGAACAGTCCAAACTCATACTGACTATGAAAAATATTATTTTACAGTGCAGTATTTCCAAAAACTATGATAGTTATTTGTTGAAAACATTTGCTTTTTTTGTACTTGGGCCTGAAAACAGGTTTTGGTCTTCGGTTTCATTGTATACATTGTTCAGTATTGTATAATAACTGTAAAAAATAAAGCTCACTACTTCACGGATTTCACCTATCACTGGTTCTTTTTGGAACGTAACCCCCACGATAAACGAGGGATTACTGTATTCTGATTGTTTGGCTCGGTTTCAAACAGTATTCTGCAGTTATCTTGTAATTGATTTATACTCTGTTAGTGTGTCATCACATTGTGAGACCATCATCAGGAAGTAGTGTGGGCAGACAGAGCAACCAGTACATGGTCTCCATTAAATCTTCGCTTGCCGCTGAAAAGAAAATAGTGTTGTCGAGATCACAGGATTTATGGTTGTATTTTATGTTCCTTTTAGCCACTGACTACAAACGTGATTTATGTAGCAATGGCATATGGAAGAAAGTGTCATATCTCTAATGTGCAACAAAAGACTGTCAGGACAGAGTCCGAAATGCTCTGTCATGCCCAGATTGGGCATTTTGTGTTCAAGTAGCATGCCATGTCAGTTGAATTGTTATGCTCACATTGGGAATAAAACCCGGAGGGGTCTGTTTGCTGAGCACGGTGTCCCAGCTGACGTTTGACATGTAGTCCAGATCCTGCAGCTCTGCCAGACAGGAAATGCGCTTGTGGACGTCTATGCACAGCAACTGAAGGGGAAAAAAATTTTCCATTTAGATTTTTAAAAAAATAATAAAATGCCGGGAAACGCACGGTACCACTGAGACATGAGCGGTCTGAGAATGAGGATTTAGCTGCAAGATAGTGCGGCGAGGGAGGGTTGATGGTAGAGGGAATTTTAGGGTAGAGGATGATAACAAATGACGGTGAGAGTGGCCAAAGAAGAGTCAAAGACAACAGCTTCCATATAGAACCGAGCAGGGTTCTGCAGGTCCTGTAGTTTGAAGGATAATGATAAAATATGTTGCGCATGGAATTTTCCCCCTCACGTTGTCTTTATGTCAGCCTCACGCACGCGCACACATTTTCACTCTCACACACACTCTTGTACACAGCCGGAATGCCGATGAGGTGCGTGAAGTCGTCGCACGGAGAAATGCAACAGTTAGACTGCAGCGGACGGCTGCCAAGAATATAAGCCCGTATACACACACACGGCCAAGTGGAACAGCTGATGAGCACTTGCGAGGAGCTTAATCGAAACAAGAGGAATGGACTCCAGGCGCTTCATTGTCAGGACTTTGTGCGCAAGTGATCACTTCACAGCGTAGCTACGTTTACGCCCTGTCGAGACTCTACTGTACGTAGCACACGACTAGAACGCCGGAATTAAAAGGGAATGAAAGGCGCCGCTTTGATTGGCCAGTATGGAAGTCAACTGTGGTCATCCCCACAGCGGTGTAGCCCTCCCTCTATCTGATCCGCCCACCTACCCTCATCTACCAACACCGTGTCCAGAGTGACGGCGTTACTGAAAACAGAGAACCGTACAGCTGAATTTGTGAATAGTGAACCACGATTAAGTGGGTGACTAGTGAAGAGAAATAAAATCATTCTTGGTGAGGAGACGTGAGGCTGATATTTTAGTCTACCTTTCTTAGAAGTGACTTCATCTCTGAGGACCACGCTGATGGGAAGCTGAGGTGGACCTTGTGGAAGGTGTGAAGGATTTCATTGGTCGGGGTGCTGGACCTCATCACGTACGGCCTCTGAAAGCCGGCGAGGAGACGGGAGACAATCTTACAAACGCTTGTGTTCAACTGTCCGCAGGAGTTTCTTTGACAAAGTGGGTGTCTTAAAAGCAATCCCTTTCTGGTTTTTTTTCGCCTCATGCTTTCCCATTAGTTCTGTTCATTTTCTGCTTCCATGAGGACAAATGAGACCGCATAAAGGAACCAACCGACTGTTTTCCAAACACCAAGAAAGAGATGGCTTTTTAATTACGTTTTTTTCTGCGTTTCCTCTTCCACACCCCTCTAATGTTCCCACGAGTTTTCCTTTCTTGTCCAAGAACCCAACATTTTTTTAAATATGCCCGACAAACAAATGCAGTTATTTCGATGAGTAGATGTTTCTTGTCACTGCTTTGCTGGCTGCAAGTTTCACTCCCAAAAAATCCAATTTATCTTGGATGGATGACTGACACTCTTAAGCACATTTTTCAAAATATATTGCATAACGTAGTAAGTGTTGGGACTGAAAAAAAATCAATCGTAAACGAATTTAAAATTGAATTTGACTCAGTTGGAAAATGGCAACGTTCTCACACGCCTTGAAACGTTTAGCAATTAACGTCAAACCAATGCCCCGCCCTTTATCACCCACGAGGAAGACTCAGGGTGTTTATTCGGAACCCGCAGCCTGGAAGATTGAGTGAAAAGATTCCGCGCCGTGTTTATTTCCATGACATTTTTAATTTGAGTCCTGCAGATGAGCCCAGCAAAAGGGAAAACCTAAACCCCATTTGAGAAAATCAATTTCAATTACATGGCTCTCAAAAATCATCTCGAATATATTTCCATACGCTCCCACAGCCATCTGTCTCACGGCGTGACTAAAATCTTCAAGCGTATTCACCAGTAAGGTCAGCCTAAATGTAAAATTCAATTACAGCTTTATCCCCTTCTCTTTTATGAGAACTGGCGACTGGCCTGGCTCACTCCCAAGGTCTTCCATATTTATTGCTTTGTGGGATAATAACCGATGCAGGTCCAAGCCGATAACAACGGTTTGTTTGTTACCTGCCCTCTGAGCAGCTCGTACGCCGTGATGCCCAATGACCACCAATCCACCGAGAAGGAGTAACCGGGATGGGAGCCTTCAAAGATCTGAAATAGCTCCGGGGCTGCAATGATAAAAAAATGACTATGATATCAAATATTGAGTATTCAGAGAAAGCAGGCACTTTGGTGGCATTCGGTTCCAGTTCAAGACATGTGGAACAAGCAACTTCGCTTCAATCCTTTGACACAAACAGTTGTACCACATCAATGGCGTTTCCCATCAAATGGTAAGTTAGCAGACGGGCATTGGTAGAACATGCTGTTGTTGAAATGCACAATGTTTAATTCTTTTTTTTTTTTTTTTTAGGTGTCAGTTTTGTAAAATTTTTATACGGGCGTGTCCCCTTATACGGAGGACTGTGTGAGCAAGAATATTTTTATTTTTTTTTCTTGCCTGTGATATTGTATGTGAGTGAGAAAAAGCACAGAAGATAGATTGTAAAATGCGTATAAATATGTTGAAGTCAGTTTTGATGCATTTAAATGTGTTCAACCCTTTCGTGCACCCGGGAACCTGATAACCTGATAAACTTTCCGTTGTCCCTGAAAGGGTTAAAATGGGGTTAAAACTACTTTGAAAGATTTTTTTTTAATGGCCTCTCTATGGGTGGGTCTGGTACATATCCCCAGGGTTCAACTGTACTCGTGTATTATTTTCTTACCCATGTATGGTTTGGTCCCTGCAATGGATGTTGCCTTGAGGTCATCTTTCACAATGGCTGCAATGTTGAAGTCAGTTAGATGGACGTGACCTGTTGAACCAAGAGGTTTTATGAACCGGTAATTGTCACCATTGTCAGGCCAGAACCTGGACCAACCTGTATGTCTGAACCGTGTTTTATCAGATTATCTCATGTAGCGTACGAGGATTACCACAACAACTGTCGTGAGGTTTGATCCTCTGGGGTATTTATTCCATTTTAATATTCTCTCTCTTCCCTACTAATGCTCATGCCCATTACTAATAAGAACTACAGTGCACAACACCTACTATATATGGATATATTTATATAATTGAAGGAATTTGCTAATGGTCCCAGTATGGATTTGTGCACTTCATCGGACAATATAGGAACTTTGAGTGTCTCTGTCCGTCATACTTTATCATGTTAAATCACTCAAACTGTGATTAACAAAGATGCCATACTGTTCCAGATAATCGCCTCATTTGAGCTCACCGTTGACAAAGAGATGACGAATTTGTGCATTGCCACAAAAACAATATAGACATCCATCAATCCCTAAATGAATTCTCGTGAGACCGGGCATATTTGTACCGCTATGATGGATAGATGACATGATTTGGCTGTAAAAAAGGAGCTCACCGTGTTCATCCAGGAGTATGTTGTCAGGCTTGATGTCTCTGAAGTGAGAAACACAACATCAGGATTAGATTGTGAGTTTTTTTTTCCCCCACTTATGGTTGCCTAAAATCAGGCCGAGATGGAATTTGCATCTCATTTCTGTCCACATTTTCTAACGTGTAAAATGCCACATTGTTATTAGAGGACATTCAGAGATTTGATTTGCAAAACAAGACCGCAATGACAACATTTATAGTCAGTATCTTGAGACGATATTATATATGTTATATTTTAATAATCACAAGTTATTTGGGTACCTTTTGTACCTTTTGTGGAAAGTAGGGAGTTGGAAAGGAAGGGCTCACAATCCAAAGCATACCACATCAGGTTTCAAACATGGTGGAAGTAATTATTAATGGACAGGACTCAATGGTATGTTCTGTGGAACAAACAAGATTGCTTGTGTCTCTTTGCTCACATTCGGCCAAGCCTCGATCTTGCGGGTGGGCCTGGAACATATCCCCGAATTAAATGGGGTTCATTGCAATAAAGGGGTAAACGATACCCGGATGACTGGATGCATCCACTTGAGCTTGCGACTGTGTTTATATTAGCAGAGATGCTGACATTGACATGCTCATGTGAGTGTTAAAGATCACTTTTATGGAAGCCTCCTCATTGTGTTTCCCCTCATTACAGTCAGATGCCCTCCAGGAAGCTCATGGTATTTAGCATATCAAAGGCCACGCCGATTCGGGCTTTGTGCTTGTGGCCCTGTGGGTGTGCTTGTGTCCCTGTGGCTGACGTTGGGAGCGCGGTGCTGAGCTCACGGATGCCCTGGCAGATCAAGTGCTGCGTGTGCACAGGTGGGAGGGTGAGAAAGGTCGTTCATGTAAGCCTTAATTAGCTGACATTTGCCTCAGAGGCTGGCGGGAGGGAAGTGACAAAGAGAGACGGAGACTCTGACTCAGAGTGGATGTGGGGAGGAAAAAGAAGCCCTTTTTCCGTCATTGAAGGAGGCCAGGGTGACATTGTCAAGGAGTGACCCAAACATGGCATGATTAAAAAAAAACTGCGAATTAGATTTGAAGCTGTAAGGAAGTCATTGTTATTGATTAGACTTATTGCACATGGGTGTTCATTATCACAGCACCCAAATTCAATATGAAACAATCAAAGCCCAACGTCGGATGAGCATTCAATGTAATTATTGACCACCGGTTGACAATCGCTGCTTCACCTGAGCTGTTCCAAAACTTTTGCTTAAAAAGTTGGCGCAGAGAGGCATTCTATTTGATCGATTGGTAAAATACAAAGGATCAATTGGAGGTTAAAACGTGTCCTCTTTGAGTACAGTGCAAAGACGTGCGCGGTTTACTTGGCGTGCAAGCTGATCCGAGCGTCTTTTCTCTCACTTGACTGCCCCTACAAGCTATTAGCAGGATCTGATGGCCTCATTACAGCCTGCCATCAAGAGGCAGAGGGGTAACTGAAACCTGGACCTGGTCATAAGATCCTGAGCTGATACTGGAGCTGGTCTACGTACCTGAGAACCGAGGCTGGGAAAGTACGTGGGTCACACACAAGCGTACAACGTCATAAGAAGTGAGAGGAAGCATCCAATCGCAAAACAATTCTAATGAGCCATCAATCATGTAGGCGTGGCAAAAACAGTTTTTGAAACTTCCAATCAAGCTTACTGCGTTGTGACTCATACCGCCCCCGTTTCTTCTTTTGGTTAAAGGTAAACAAGCCCTGATACATTCTGAGTGTATGTGTGACTGGGAGATATTCATTCCTTATTCATTAACGAGAGCTGAGTGCAGCTGCTGGATGATGTCAGGGTTGACAAGTTTGGAGACTTTGGAGAACACTAATGGGGTACAAAAATAAAACGAAGGCCAAAATGCACATCCCAATTACGTAAGATGTCAGTCCTACGAGTAACTCAGAGCGATCCTCAATCCTCGGCCTTGTTCGTTTTTCATGTCATCTGCCCGTTGATGCGACAGACAAGGCAGTTTTCGGCAATTAACGACGTCTGGTAAACATTCTTTGACCTGTCGTGCTCCGAGGGAGGTTTTCAACAGGCCTCATGTCTGTTTATTTGGGCGCTACATTCAAGGAGCTGGCACCAGCTTGCACCTTAATCTGTATTTATGAAACATGAGCGTATAATTTTCCCCCGTCCTCCCTTTCGGGCTTTTCCCTTTTTCATCTTCGCTCAAATGAAAAATTAACACGCTCAAATGTATATGGTGTACTTTACTTGAGGATGCCACAAAAGCCAGAATAAAAATGACTCTGAGGTTCCGCAAAAGCAATGCGTTTAAATTCTCATCACACCAATGATAAACTAGATGCCACTTGTACAGCTTGACATGCAAAATGAATTATTTCAAACACAAGCGTAGCCTATCTCGTCCGCCACGGAGAACAATACAAATCTTACTCTCGCAAAGCAAAGAAATGAGAACTTGCGTTCTTAAATCTTCTAAAGCCTCACTTTCTGCAATATCTTTAACGGGCAACAAAACACAACACTTAGATCCAGCTCAGCGTGTACAATGACTTCCTGAAAATCTCTCGACCTTTGTTATTCAGGTACACCGTAGTGATTTTTATAATCAATTAAATCACCAAAGATGGCCCCCCAAAAAACATTCTAGCATTCATTCTAGCAAGTGCTACCAAGTCAGAGTGGTCACATCTGTGCGTAATTCTTCACTCAATTTCCATAGAAATGAGATGAGCGTCTCATCTCATCGAAAACTAATGAATGCAGATTGAAGTGACGTTGATTCTGTCAGCTGGCCAGTCTGTCCTCTGCGGCATGAAAATAGAAAAGATCACTTCATTATATAGTTACATTTCAATTTCACTCAATGGGCTGAATGCATTTGCAACTTAATACTCCCTTTGGTTTTTATTTGTCTTCCCACTCTGGCTGGTGAGCACGGATGAGGTCGTGCAATCTTGCGACTCATTAGCGGACGTCCTTGATTTCTGTTCTCCGTGACTGTTTTTGCCGTTAGTCATCATGATGGAAAGACAGGATTATTTTTTTTTTGCTTCTTCCCGAGTAGCGGATGTTACTTCTCGTACACTGGAACAATCTTGCGTGTTTGATTGAAGCTTTCCAGGCTAAAAATATAATATGCCTGCTCACAGGACGGCGAGGATCTTTGTGTGCTCACACTGAGGTTTTGTGGAGCACGAAATGTCAGGGAGGAGAATGCCGCAAGTGAGCCACCTTGGATGGTTGGGAGGTCATTTCAGTTTGGTTAAAGTAACCCGGAAAATTTAGGCTGACCGGAAAAGGAAATAAAAGTCATAAAATGTACAATTACTTGGTCAAAGAGGGACAGCGTCGCCTATTAGCCTGTACACCTGTACCTTATCTTAAGAGATAAATTCAACAACAGAAAATGTGTTTTGGGTTGTTTTTTTTTTTTTTTAGAGAGGGGTGGGGGAGTTTTGGTTGCCAGATTAAATAACTATAAAAAAGCGGATTAATCGTCCTGAGAGTAGTCTCACTTAGTTGAGGATTTTGAGGACTTTTTGTCCCCCCGGTAGAGTTGGCCAGCGGCTCGCCCTGCTTAAAAAGCACTTAACCTGCAGTTTACAAATTAAATAAGCCTTTATCTTGCACATTTTATAGTAGCCGCAGTCTGCAGCCTGGGGATAACGGTCGTTTCCGGTGGGACCTTTGCGTCAAGCTCTTTCTGCACATTGACTTAGCGGTCTTTTTACGACTAAATGAAATAGAAGTGGAGAGCCTAGGGGGAAATGCAGTGGAACCTGTAAGGTCAAACACTTTGCATTCTGTCATGCTGGTCGACGCCTGATTAGCACAAAATGATGAATACATTTTCCTCTGATATTTTCCACATCAAGAGAGGGGTGGGGGAGTTTGGTTGCCAGATTAAATAACTATAAAAAAGCGGATTAATCGTCCTGAGAGTAGTCTCACTTAGTTGAGGATTTTGAGGACTTTTTGTCCCCCCGGTAGAGTTGGCCAGCGGCTCGCCCTGCTTAAAAAGCACTTAACCTGCAGTTTACAAATTAAATAAGCCTTTATCTTGCACATTTTATAGTAGCCGCAGTCTGCAGCCTGGGGATAACGGTCGTTTCCGGTGGGACCTTTGCGTCAAGCTCTTTCTGCACATTGACTTAGCGGTCTTTTTACGACTAAATGAAATAGAAGTGGAGAGCCTAGGGGGAAATGCAGTGGAACCTGTAAGGTCAAACACTTTGCATTCTGTCATGCTGGTCGACGCCTGATTAGCACAAAATGATGAATACATTTTCCTCTGATATTTTCCACATCATTATTAACGATGTAAAATGTCCATTTTTTAATTATTATTTATATATGGTACTGTGAAACCAGAACCACGACAGGGACACGCGGCCTGCTTTCCTATGTCACCCTAAATGCCATTTAATGTAATCATTTGTTTCATCCCCCTTTTTTACTATCATTGGAAATGTCATTGAAGTATCTCATCTATTTCAAATCTTTTTCTTGTTTACATTTGTGTGCTTCTTAAGACAAGTTTTGGCTGGTTCGACATGACACCAGCGACGCGGGGTATCTTAGCATGTCGGCAAAAAAGGGTCAGAACTACGTCCGCACAAGCGGAAGACCATTCCAATGTCATACGAATAAATTATTCTCGTTTTCAAATTGAAAGCGGGGAAAAAGGAGGAGCCATTCAAACCTGTGTATAATGTGCTTGGAGCGCAGGTATCCCAGGGCCAAAGCCAATTCGCAGATGTACAGCTTGACGGTGCTCTCGGAAAAATGGACGTTCTGCTGCAGATGATAGCGCAGGTCTCCTCCGAGGAGCAAATCCACCACCATAAACATGTCCTCCTCATCCTGGAAGGAATACCTGCAGCGTAGTGGAAGATGGGGCACGGGTGAGCATGAGTGAGCAGTGACATTATACAATCACACAATACACAAAACACGCACACCTAATTTCTTCTGGATGGGAAATTCAATCTTCGCTTCATTGTATTTGCAGCATTGTGTTCCTCAATTGCTCTTATTTGTGCGGAAGGCAATGTCGGGGTAATAATGCGACATGTTGTTATCCATCACTGGCGGAACGCTAAGCAGAGAGGGAGGAAGTCCAAATCAGCATGCAGCTCACTGCTTTGCTGTTGCAATGATTGCCATTCAAGCTTCTCACTGAGGCCAAACTGCTCTTTCCCTTCTAAAAGATAAACGAGAAACATTCGGCCTCATTCAGACATAACCGCACACTTAGACTGCCAAGTCCTGTTTTTGTTTTTGAATTTTTTTTTCTCACACCCTGGGATCTAAAGGTGATTCTGCTGCACGGGCTGCGGTTTATTGAGCTGACTCCAAATTGTTTTGTTCGGGCTCAGATAATGCTGAGATCACTTCACATCTGATTGGCCTCACAGGGCAGAAAGAATATCCGCCAAGGTTGGAAAGAGGATACGTACGACGCCTTTGCACTTTTCAGCGTTAGAATTAGAGTGACGTTATGATTTCCGACCGGGAGAATATTCATTTGCGTCGATCGAAGTAGGAATTTTTAGCCACATAAAAAATGTTGATGACACAACATGTGAATGGCAAACAAACAAAAAAAAATGTATTCAGCATTTCATTGTGTCACTCATGTGCGGATAAATTCAAAAATGCAAAATCCCAAACTTTATATGCGAGGCATCGAGCAAAACTGCTGAGGTCGTAGTCAGCATTGTGAGCCTACACATGATGTTCCACCACATTAATCATTCTGATAGCCTAATTATCTCTCTCCATCTCACTCTTTCCACCTCTGCTTTTCACAGACACTCATGAGTAGAGAATAAATACCTTTTGTTAGTCAAGGTGAGCCAGAGCTGTCACATACCTTTTGCGGGCACATTTGCTTGCTTGATTGGCACAGTGACGCTCTCCCTTAAGCAGCTATTCAATTGTGTCAAATATAAAATGAGGTACTTTCCCCCTTTATTACTTCCGCTATAAAATCGAAGCGACACGGTGAATCATCAGTTCTGTTTGGAATCTTGGCTCAAGCTAGCTGTGCGTAGATTGGAGGTTTGTGTGTGGGGTTTCTCCACTTACTTCAGCTTCCTGCCCCCAAAACATGCATGTTGTGTGAAGATTGGTACAAGTGAAGACGAAACTTTCTAAGGGACTGAACGTGAGTGCGAATGGTTGTCCAGTGAGGTCAATTGCTATCGAGGTTGGATAAACGGACTCCTTAAAAGTCCTCCCGGCTTCCATTTTGTGTTTTTTTTTTTTTAAACTGTCTTTTCATTCAGACGACGGTAAAACTCACCATTTCGTACCACACTACATAGGTGAATAGAGCAGATGGTAAAAATAATGGGGTGGACAAAAGGAAGGACAAATACTTGATGTTCTTGAACATCCATTAGCAGCTTGTTGCTTTTTTGTTCAGAGCAACTGTCAGAATGGGGACAAGTACTTCTGGATGTCTTCCCGGTACCGAGGCAGCTTTGGTAACATTTTCTTCCTCTAGCTGTCCCTGTTTTTCTGTCTGTCTCGTTGTGCCTCTCCTCTCACATGTGTTTGAATGTGACCGCTTTGTGGCCTCCAGGCAGCCAATCCTGCGGGAGCGCATCCTGCATGGAGCTTTTAGTGAAGCAGAGGCACCGCAGGCCACTCTGATAATGGAAGTCTTGCAGCAGCTCGCAGGATAATGCCCCTACAAGGGACTCCTTTCCTCCCTTTCAAATGCAATTGAAATTCTGCACAGCTCTTGACAGTTTATCACACATTACTGTCAATGCAAAAGGAATTCATTCATACTACAGAGCATCATTGGAACTTCAATCAAAGCAATCTTGGAAGTCCAAATCCATTTTCAAGGGGGAAAAAAGGTCTAAAAGTCATCAAAAGAGATCTTTCGTAGTTTTACTATAACACTTGTAAAACATATTTTTTTTCAATTACACGATATACAATGATTAGATCCCAGTGCTGCATTTGACACAGTTGATCATAATATATGCACTAAAACAATGGGTGGGACTTGTGTTAAAATAGTTCTAATCTTACTTGCAAGAGATACTTTGTTTCAATTAGTAGTCATGAGTCTGTGTGAACAAAGATCATATGTGGGGTGCCACAAGTGTCAGTTCTTGGACCACTTCTGTTTTAATATCTTGTACATGAAATGTGCGATACAAATAAACTTGCCTTGCCTTGTCATAATATATACAAGTGGATAACTTGTACGGATGAGATCTATCCTGGTTCTTGCGGTCATGGCAATATGTGCAGGGTAGATGACAATACAGTATTTCCTAGGCTATTTAGTAATTAATATTTGATTTCCAGGTATAGATGATGAGCACGGACTGAAGTATACTCAGGTTTCAGGCCCACCAGAGCATGTCAAGAGACATTCCCAATCGGAGTGCGTTAGGCCAACTTTCAGAAATTCAATTCAGACTGAGATGATCCTAAGTCATTTAAAGGTTGGACTCTATTTCCTGGTGTATCATCGACTGATGGATATATCAACTATACACATGCGCACACACACACACTTCTGAACAACCAATGTCCTTTGCTGATGGGAAACAGCTGGCTTGCTACTCAAAACAACGTGTTGGCTCCATGCTGTCATTCTGTCCTATCCCCTAACACCTCCCGTTGATCGATGGCTACCAGCAGTCTCACCTCATGCCAGAGCTCACATCCACAGAGGCATGCAGAAGTGCAAGAAAAAAAAAGTGTTACTTTAACGGTTCTAGCGACGATAATTGGCAAGGCTTAAAAAGGTTTTTGGGATCAGCATAGGCGATGACGTGACCACAGTTGAGGTGGATGTATTAAAATCCCATACTTACATATGATATAGTCTCTGTAAAATTTGCAATGCTTTGTTTCATGCATTACATAATGTCTATTCCTGGAGGAAATGCTTTTGTCATGCGCCGTTGCTTTCATAAGAAGTCGCTGTTGGTACTTTTTGAGGGATAGGAAAATGAATAGAGGATGACAAAGCGGGTTGGTCTGTGAAGCACAGTTGTAAGAGACTTGCTGGTACAAAACAGGGTCCCCCTGAAGCAATTTAAGCTGTTACTTTTCATTGTAGGGTTGAGTCTTGTGGCAGTTATGCCGCTATTTTTTTTTTTTACTTTCTTTTTTTTTTTTTTACAGTAACATGTAGTTGTTCGCGTGGTTAGCCTCGGAAGATAAAACAGAATGGAGAGTTTTATAAAAGTAATCACGGGATTTGACCGAGCAAGAAGAAGAAACATTTGTTTGCCACACAAAGGCCAGAAAATGATCCCAGTTCACCAAAATGCAAAAAAATAAATAAATAAATAAATAAATAATGACTGGAAGGGCAACAATGTGCCTGCCACAATAAGAGTTGCCAAGTCACGTTGGAAGAGAGTACAATGCAAATGCACACCAAGTGTTCGTAATTATCTTTTGAGATTAGCCAAAGTGAACTTTGGTAAGAAATGAATAGTGGTGGATACAGTTGTGCAGTAAATGTACACTACACACAGTTTAACCTAAAACAGGAACAACCATTTCACTTCGTAGTCCAACAATCAACCAAACAGGGTTGATTGATGGAGGAGGGGAGGGCGGGGGTAGAATAAAGGATTATCTTTCATATTCACAGTCCATTAAAGGACAGAAAAGCCATTTTCGCAACCATAGCTGGGTTGGTCCGGTTCATTTCCCTGCAAGTAATCTCTCAGTCTTTAACCTTGAACGCTTAACTCAGGACAAACATGTGCCAGCTCGACACAACCGATAGAGTGGGCGCGCAGGCAAGCCGCTGACCCATGCACATCTCCGGAGGAAACCACCCCTCCCAGGGGGGAAGTTTCCACTGCCAAAAGCATTCACTTCCAGACTCGACCCCCCCATTCTATGTCCGGCGCAGCATGCCAGAAAGCATGCGCTGTCCTTGTTTGTCTGATAAGTCAGTACATTGCCCGCGTCTGGAGCCTCCTCCATGCTCAGCTGTCCTTTCCTATATCCATTCGTCTCTTTTTGCCTACCCTCTGCCCTGTCTTGTTTATGGCTGTTTTTTTCCCCCTTTCTCTCGAGGCAGTCTTTCTGCCAGACGAGTGCAGTGTTTTTGAACGCTATGGAGTAATATAAAGGCTACCTACGTTCGTTCCTAGGGATCCAATCCAAAACAGCAATAAATAAAAACAAAAGCGTGACCATTCGATACAAACAGACTGAAAGGGATTGAGGAGATGATTCATTTTTATTCAGCCATGATAGTTTTTCCCTCCCGATTCTCTGAAGCGCGGGGCGGCAGAGAAGGTGCTTATCAAAAATAAATGAAGCCTTTCAGACAGAAACTTAACACGCCACACATGTGAAGCACCTCCAAGATGTGATCCTTGGTGCGCAATACTATTCCAAATTACGACGATCAAGTTGTTTCAAAGTTACCGATGACTCATCTTGATGATTCGCAATCTGAAGGCTGAGGCCGTGTCCTTAAATTCCCCAAACGCAGTGAGGCAAACAGGGAGCAAAAAGTTCAACGTCTGAGATGAGCGAGCAAGCTACATTTTTCCTTTTAGCTACTTGAAAGGGACGAACGATGCGCACGATTGTGGACGCTGCGTGTTCATGACTCACAACGCCGGGGACTGAATGGCCTTTTTAATCTGTCTTTTTCTCTTTTGTGTGTATTTCATTGCACTGATGGACCGTGTCGCTGCGACAATGCTTTGGGAAGCATTTTATTGCTTGTTGTGGTTCTGAGGGAAGGCAGTCAAAGTGGAAATCAATGACGGAGTACTTCGGTGGTTTTCACACAAGTGGTTTTCCTCCAATATATATTTCTGTGGACGTATTGTAATCGTCCGTTCATCCATATGAAACCTAACAGTCGGATTCAAGGCCTCTTAAAAGGCGACTACCAAAGCAGGGAAATGGTGGTTGGCTTTACCAGATGTTGACGAGGAAAGGATGCTCCAGGTTCTGCATGATCTGAAGCTCTTTCAGGACGTTCCTCACTTCGTTCCGCTCCACGCATTTCAACTTGTTCATGTACTTCATGGCGTACATTTTCTTCGTGTCCTTCTTCTGCACGATGCAAACCTGAGAAGAGCACAACTCTTTCAGTGCAAAATACTTTCAATCATTCCCATTGTTGTCGTTAAACGCTCCGATAATTGAAAATGGGATACTTGAGCTTCAACGGGATTGATCGATCTGAACCGTTACCTTGACGAAGCAACGTGAACCGTATTGACGAAACAGCAGATTTGCGATATTGTTCTTCATCACACTTGCTTCATGATGTCAAACTAAATTCAAGGGGAACCTGGACTTGGATTGGATAGCCTTTCAAGAAATGACACATCGTGGTGCCTACCGTCTTTTGACGGGGAGACTATAGCTGCTGCACCGAGACGTGCGTCTGTGCTACAAGCGTCAATAAGCTAGTGATTACTGCTATCTGTTATCTAAGAGAGTCTTTTGTGGAGCAGCTGGCGCAGTTAATCAGCCAGACCCTGATCACATCACTCCCCCCATTGAGCAGCTTTGCATTTACCGTGATTAGACTGCTTATCTGCCGTCAGACAGAATGTTGATGCTGTGTACAGTTGGCCTCCACGCGCATTGTTATAAGTCATCGCACATGCTGGAAAAAGCGGATGGGAATAATTACCCTGTACAATCCTGCTCCTATCGGCGCGACCGTCTCAACGAAACGGGGTGCTTTCTCGACTGACCTCCACACTGAAATGTCCTTGAAGTCTTAATACCCTTTCGAACAGAATTTACAGGAAATTTTAAGTGATCTGGTCGTTCAGCACAAGAATATTTGTTTTTTCTTTAGTTTTTGGCTGTTTTTTTTTTTTTGTGTGGTTAAGTCTTGTTTGTTTGGTCCCAATCCCATAGCCCATTCCTTCACTTGTTGACAGCGGTGAAGTTCTTATTACACTTGCATGCTGATTGAGAATGTTAAAATGTCAGTTTGCTGTCAATAAAACATGCCAAAAAAAATAGGCTCACCTTTCCAAAGCTTCCTTTTCCTATTGCTCTGAGGATCTGGAAATGGTCAAAATTGACTGTGAAAAGAAAAAAAAAACAGAATGGAGTTAATTTAATGAAATGTGTTTTTAACGTGTTTTTTTTTTTTTTTAACTGCCCAGTGACTGTTTTTTGCTGATTGAGAATGTTAAAATGTCAGTTTGCTGTCAATAAAACATGCCAAAAAAAATAGGCTCACCTTTCCAAAGCTTCCTTTTCCTATTGCTCTGAGGATCTGGAAATGGTCAAAATTGACTGTGAAAAGAAAAAAAAAACAGAATGGAGTTAATTTAATGAAATGTGTTTTTAACGTGTTTTTTTTTTTTTTTAACTGCCCAGTGACTGTTTTTTTTTTTTTTTTTTTGGAAAAAAAGTTACACACCGC